ATCAGCTGGGATGGCTTCGTGAGCTATAGTCACGCGCTCACACTTTTTTCCAAGTGATATAATGTTAATATTGTTCATCTTTTGAGTACCTCAGCACACTGTTATGCAGGCGATATCAAAATTCCTTCTACATGAAGCACTCTTCTTGAAGACTGATAATGAAATGATGTGCTTCATTATTAGCTGATGTATTCTTGCATTTCGAACATTTGTTTTATCTAATGCTTTTGATTTCCACTATTTTGTCAATTAAAACACAACATCTTACATGGTTGGTTATATTCGCATTAAATAAGAAGATGCATTGTTCAATATACTAGATCAAGATTTGTATGATGCATGGATTAAACTTAATCCTATAAATAATGATTTATCATTTCATGGAAATAGTTTAAAGCTAGTGCGATATCGAATTGGCCTCATCACTGTCGTTTAAAACTATGGCGCTGATGAACTCGTGCTTTGCAGGGTGTGGTGGTGCAATGGCCGATGCTCTCGCCGACGAGACTTCGGGCTGCGATGAAGAAGAGAAGCCAGCAGGTCCGGCTGATGAAAATCCTGGTCCTTCTGGAACCACAGCTCAAGGTTCTTTTACACTTTCGTATGAACTGTCCATAAAAAGTATATTGTTCATATTCCTTACGCAACAATATTGGGCTAAATGTGTTTCGTGCGTATCAACATACATGCGAAGGCAAGGATAAATCTTTGTATGTTCATCACGAAGTTTACTTTTTTAAAAACATGCTGCCTTAAATGGATTTTAGTACGTTGTATAAATTCATGTAATTTGCACTTTACTGTTTTGCTCGCAAAGAAAATAATGCCACGTATAGAACAGAATAATGACTTGAGCCCCACCATTGCCAGATAAAATAACATGATTTAAATTCTTTAGATTATTTTCCCCGCTCCTTTCAATTTTCCATGTTTGGGTTGTAAATTATTATTGCAATATTCATCGTGTCAGGCTGGTCCTTTCTGAGGGGTTCGTCAGAGAATGTCTTGTCAACAGTCGGCTCTCCAGCTCTTTTCTGCTACAATTGCTACAAAGCAGGGGAGAGTCCTTGGCTCTATTCTTTGAACAGAGATAACTTAAGCACTAGGAACATACACAAGAAAAACCAGCATAAAAATGTAGTACCGAATGTAGAATTTATTTCTCCGAGAGATGTAAAAGCAAGAGATGCTTTTCTGAAATGGCAGCAGTGGAAGGTGAAGGTGTCTAGTAAAATCAATCTAGCAACCAAGCGACGTTGCTCCGGCTCGAGTGTGAGAAACCCAATCGTTATTCATGCTTAGCTTATTGCTTCTTTCTTACAGCCTCTATTTTAGTAGTAAATCTTTGGCCAAACTTGAAAGGAATTTTTTTTTAATTTTGTTTTTTGTTCTCTTTGCTTGAATTTCGTAACTGTCATTGCTTTATGTGATATGCTTCAGATGTACTGTTTCTATGTGCAATGAAGGCTCACTGTAGCTTGTATTGACTTGTAAATTTTCTAACTTGTTGCCTACAGTTGCGTCATCACTGTCAACCCATTGAATGCAATACCTGCATTATGTCTACACACATTGGTAAGTTATCTAAGTCCTAATGTGTACACAGAAGGTATATGCATGTAAAAAACACAAGTTTGCGAAAATTGCATCGGCGTACTTTATACATGATAAATTCTAATTAACAATGCGTAGTGTATCTGAATAGCTGAAATCAACACTAACACAGTTTCTCTTTCTATAAATCAACATATAGATATAAATATGAACCTTAAAACTTCAACTTTCGTGTACATGATCTATAGGAGACTTGTTCCAGACAATTTGAACGCTAAAAAAACTAACATAATTCTTGGGATCCGAGTTATTAGTTTCAATGTTTTTGTTCTCAAATATGACTACTATACATTAGTCAATTTTTTTACGACAAGCAGAGTCAATTGCGACTGATTCGAATTTTGAATATTCATAAGTTGTTATCTGTGAATAAATATTATCAAGACTCTTTCTCATGATTCGTATTTAAAATCTTTTTATTAGCGAGCTTGGATAGGTCAATAGATTCCTACATTTTTTTCGACCCGACCATCAATACTCAACGGTTGCACGCATTCATAGCTATATACGAGTACCTCTTTAGAAAAAACGAGCTTACCATTGTTCAATGATATGAATACACCAAGCATACTGAAATGTGAGCAAAATCAATGGCATCAGTTGTAGTCATACATTTACATAATTACGTAATTTGTAAGGCAATCAAACTATCACGCATATTGTCATTTTTTTGTGTAAGCAAAGCTTCATACCCATTCCTGAATTACTGGAACATTTTGACGATGCATGCCTTTGTACGATATCGTACAAAATGTGTTATTTGTGCATGACTTGTCATTAAATTGAACTTTTGTAGTGGCTTCTGTTGATTACATGTAGTTCGCAACTAAGTTCCATGTCTCTGTGAGTTTTGTGCTGAGTAGCATCTTCATTTATGTAGATTACGCTCAAAATGTTGCATGTTTTTCAGAATTGCTTGTATTATGCACATCGAGATTAATTAAAACAAGGTACCGTAAACTGGGGTAACTTTGACCACTTTTTTTTCAAAATGATGCCATTTTTTAACTAGATAAGTTAAACTTAAATTGAAATGTGCAAAATACAGGTCTATACTCTAGCTTTACTCACCATAAATTGCTGGCTCCTGCCTCTCATAGTTTTGATGTAATTTAAAAAAAAGTGATGGTCTTTGTTACCCCAGCTCTTGTGGTTTCTTTGACCGGATGGTAAAATCAATTTTATTTTTGGTAAAATAACTCCAAATAACTCCATGCATTGTAGTAGAACTCTTCTAGTTACATATGCAAAAGAATAGGCCTTTGATGGCCATTGACAAAATTTTTCTATGTCAAATCGTTTTTGAGTTTTGGGGGTTTTTGTTAGAAAAACGAAAAGTGGTCAAAGTTACCCCGCCGGTCAAAGTAACCCCATTTTCCGGTATTTAATACTCGCTATGAGTTGCAATTATAAGTTATTGTATGTGGGATTATATTTCAGGATCCAACTCCCTCGAAATGTTTGACTCAGACCTTCTCAGCTCCCTCGAAACGTTTGACTCAGACCTTCTCAGCTCCCTCGAAATGTTTGACTCAGACCTCCTCTACTCCGCTTGATGAGCACATGCATCAAGCTCAGGTTGGCAACATTCTATTGCGTTGCATTATCATCATAAATAAATTCATTCTTATAATTTTTGTCGCTATTAATGAGTAATATTCCAACTTTGAAAGAATCCTGTTTTACTCTCGCTGCATGCCATAAAGAAAACATAATTTGATGATCAAATCAATTACCAGTTAGTCTATGATATTCGTCACTGACATATGTTTAAATGTGGAGATCTGTTCTGTGCAGAAAAGGATAAAGCAGCCTCTAGCTTGACCGTCTTAGAGGAAGAGACAACTGCTGCTGGCATGTTGTTTGTGGGAGCGCATTCAGCCGCTGAAGCAGCTACAACGGAAACCTCTACAGAAGCGCAACAAGATTCGCCAGTTGTGGATGAGATGATAGTGGGTGATGAGTTTGAAGGAGTAAGTTCTGAGAGATGATGCAGCACGTGGAAGGTTCGGACCACTCCACCATCCATTTTAAAGGAACGTTGTAGGTGAAGATACTCTGCTGGGTGTGGTCCTGAATGAGATTAATGAACTCAAAAAGGAAATTTGAGGTCAGCACGAGCAGCCACCATTATGTCAGATACCTGCAGTATCATTTTCATCCGGAAAAATATGCTCATCTGGGCCCATATTGTGGGATAAAGTTACAAACCTTCGCGAACTTCTTTTAGTCAGCAAGGTATTTTGCACAGAACAAAGGTTGCAGGGCAGGCTGTACATAAAGTGCATCGCGTGCAGCACGTTTGTTAATTCTGTAGAAGGAAGGACGTACCAAAGCAACATTAGGCGCCATGTCCCGTATGGTTTGCAGGTCAAAAAAGATGACGAGAATGATTGGTGGAGTGGAACTGGTCGCCGTTGGATCATATGGAAATCAAACCTAAAGCAGCACGTGGAAGGTTCGGACCACTCCACCATCCATTTTAAAGGATTGAAAATGTTGGAGCATAATGAGATTAAGGAATCTAGGGTAATTCACATTGTTGCCGGGTCTAAAATGTCTTGTACCGCAGGTAAGGTAAACCTGTTATCTGCTTCTTTCAACTAAATAGCAACAACCCTATTCTGAATGAAGGAAAATGAAAGACTGGTTTTAATAAATAATGAATTAAAATATGGGACAGTAAAAAACATATAACTTAATAAAATTGCAAATTAAATGGTTGCTGTAATTTGTAAAGTGTAGTGAAAGTGAGCTACTTAATTGGATGTAAGGAAATGAGATGAATAAAATGTGAAACTATCCCGTCGGAGATGCCAAATGTTGCCGGGTCTAAAATGTCTCGAGCCGTAAGTGAGATAAACCTGTTATCTGCTTTTAACTAACTGGCAACCACCCTACTCTGAATGAAGGAAAATGAAAGACTGGTTCTAATGCAAAAGGAATTAAAATATGGGACAGTAAATAAACACACAACTTAATAAAATTGCAAATGAAATGGTTGTTTTAATTTGAAATGTGTAATGAAAATGTGCTAGTGAATTGGATGTAAGGAGCATGGACAGGTGGAGATGAGTTGATTTAACTGCAAACAGAAAGAACAGAATAAAAATGCAAATCATGAATGACTGATAACCTGATGGGATGCAAAATATTTAGAAATTCAAGAACCATTAACTCCCTTAAGGGATAACAGCTTCTGTCCATGCTGTAACTATTAACATATGGGAATCTTTAAGGTTTGAAAAAAGTAAAATACAAGGGAACATAAGCAAATGAAATCACACAATTAGCTGATCAACATTAATAAAATTAAAATAATAACAAGGACAATATTGAACCTAAATTATCAATGAATAAATGGAATAAATTCCTATGCCACTCACCAGTGCAACTGAGCGCCCAGGCTGAGATACTGAATAGAGATGCTCCAAGAGAGATACTTTACTTCAAGTCTGTAAATTATATACTTTGGTCATCTATACTGAAAAAGATAAAAATATTGAATTTAATTTAAATTGAGTTGGATTAAGAACTGAAGAAATATGATTACAGGTAAAGAAAGACATGAAGGTTGGGCTACACAGTAGCCTAATTTAACCTCCGGTAACAACATCAACAGGCACTTCATCATCTATGCAATCAAAGTAATAAAATCAAAGTCTGCAGCACTTCATTATGAAAATAAACTTGCAAACTTTGAAGCGTTGGGTATGGACATTGGAAATAAGCAACATTCCCACAAGCAATTAAACAGCGTAGTTGACAGCATTTGTTCAACAATCAAGCAACGTTTCGACCAAAAGTTGAGCACTCCCCTGAAATCAACCGGGCACCCACCTCATTTTTTCCTAACTTTTGACAAGTCGACTCCCCAACGAGAGAGTAACCAAGCTGTGATGCTAGTTGCTATGGTCGAGGGTTCAAGGCTTGCTTATTTTTGGGGGGCCCCCAAAGTGTACTCAATTGAAGAAGGAGAAGGAGAAATTTCTGGAGGTCAAACTGAGAGTCTTGTTGCTCAAATATTCAAGGAGTTACAGGCACGAATTCCTAATGTGGACAAAAAATTTTGTGCAGGTGCGACTGCAGATGGACAGTACGTGAACGAGCGGTTCAGAAATGCATTTTTTTCTGCAGTTGGTGTCAACGATGACTTTTCTTTCGTGATCTGGGATCCAAGTCATTTTATGGATCTGTGTGCAAAGAAGTTCATCAGCAAACCTTACTTGAAACGATCATGTGACCGTGCCGCCAGATTCCACTCCAAACTTGGTTATGGAAAAATGCAAGCGACGGCAAGAAATATTGGGGAGCAAATGGATGAAAAATTCCTCGTGACGAAAAACTTGAGCACCACTCGCTTCATAGCCAGTACTTTGCAGTCATTTGCAAGCATTCATCGCTGTTTCCACCATTATGTGCAGGCAATGTACAACTTTGGGGGCATGTGTCACAACACTGACGAATCTTTCTCAGAAGACGAATACATGTTGGTGGGCCAAGACTTTGTCATCGACCTACTCCTTGTGTCTGACATTCTGAAACAACTTGTGGACCTCATGGTTGTTTCACAAGAGCTGCAACAGCCTTGTTGGAAAGTATTGACCAACAGCAAGAAGACACTTGAAATATTAAGATCGATGGAAAATAATCTCCAATCTGTTGATCCTAATGGACCTCTTAAATTAAATAAATGATTGTGGCCTATCTCCGCAGGTGTCATCAATGGAGTTGTTCACAATAAAAAGTACAATGGAGTTGCTCTTGTCAATGGCTGGCTGGTCGATACATCATCAGCAACTAACAGTACGACTCCCGATTCTTGGGTTCTTCGAGAGCCAAGAGATTGCCAGCAAGATGCCAGTGACTTTATCGTCAAACTCCGCATTGAATTGGAAAGAAGACTTCGAACATCTGTTCCAGCTGCTGTTGAAGTCCTGGGAGAGGCTTTTGACCTCTCCAAACTCATGTGTCTTCAAGCAGGAAGGCGGAGCTCTCCCTTACAAGGAGCTTTGTTAACAAAAAGCAGCGAAACGGCACAGAAGGCTTTTGTCTCTTTCTTCAATAATTTGAAAAAAATAGTAACTTAAATCTTGAAGTAAGATTTAAGTTACTATTTTGCAGTTATGAACAATGCCATGATACTTGCTTTAATTATTTTCATATTGTGTACATCGTTTAGAAAACGCAGCTACTCTAAGAAGTTCAGGTATAACTTCTCAATTATAAGGAAATGCAATATTGGTATAACGAATCAATTCTCGAACGACTTTATCATTCATTTTACTCTAAAAAATTCTAATATCTACATTGGTTATAGGATGACCTCCGGGAAGAAAATGCCGTTGAAGTTTTCCAGCAAACTATGGCAACCTTCAAGTGGATAGTTTGGTCAGAGTCGCCCAAAGCCTCATCAGTGAGGAAGGAAATTTCTAAGTCTGATGATGCTTATGATGGCAGCAGGCCAGAAACATTCTCTCCGGAGTCCAATTATCAGATGGGGAAGTTCGATCAGACTTTCTTGTGTAAATTAAATGAGTCAAGCCTCAGGCTCACCTTCAAAGAAAAAAAATTAATTTCAGTAATGTACCTCGAGTCCGACATTTACACGAAAATCGGAAAGCCTTTCTGTCTAGCTTTTGACATTGCACTGGCCAAAGGAGGCTGTGAGGCGATCGTTGAAAATCTTTATTTGGTCATGAATGCGCAAATTCAACATGGTGGACAGTCAAATGATGTATTAGTGAACCGTACAAAAGTAGATTGGCACTGCCCGCTATCTTCGCTAAGCGTGATGGATTTCATTACGGATGCAGCAAAATTGCACCAATCTAAGCACTCTGTCCCCTACACATGCTTAAACTACGGTGCATCAGCTATTGTGAAACGTCTTAAGACGGAGAAAGGGCACATCTATGACAAAATGTAAACTTATCACCTTGATGTTATGTTGCAGTATTCTTTAGAAATAAGGATGATCGGTTTCTGTTAGAACCAGCACATGCAGTAAGAATGGTTGAAGGTTACTAAATAGGCTATTGCTTCAAGATCGTACTATTATGATGCTCACTTAGGCGGATCACTTCATAACGGAATCACTACACTTTTTCAATGACTGCCTTTGAATTACGTGATTTTTTATTTTCTGCCTTTATTGCAGTGACAAAATCAACTAAGTTCATAGCGGGAAGTAAAGTCATGATCATAAATGAATCATCGAAATATGAAAACTTTCATCTAATACAGTACCATGAGGGTCATTCATGTCTTATTGCTCGAGAATCAAATTTGACGTGAAAACAAGTATCAGGGTTTTTTTCTTTGTCGTAATAAGTAATCTTCAACTTGGTAAGAAATCATGTATACTATCAATAGATGCCAAAAAAATGACTGCATTTAAATGGTAAATTGCTTCGTTTGTAATGTTTGCGTCTTAATATTATTAGTGTGGAGAATATTTTCCTGTAAAAAGCATCGTATAATATTAAAAAAATGTAAACCTGCAGAAATTAATAAAGATTGAAAACAGTTTATCCCCAAATGTCCATATTATAGGTGTAGGAAGAGGATCCACTGTCTGCGTGCTTGTTGTCCGTCGTTTCAGGAAGTGACCGGGCAGGCGACAGCTACGGCATGACGAAAACTACATATACAGTAAAACTATTTATCATTTATGCATGTTCCTAGATTTTATTATTGAGGCAATGAACTTATGAAGGAACAATTGTTTTATTCTAAATTTAGATGTTATTCAATGTTTTGATTCTATTTATCAATTCCGTGAGAAGTGCCAAGAACTTCAACCAAATCTGTGCGTATCCTTTTTTGGGCAATTCCGTGACATTTTCTAATTTGAGTACCTCTGTTCGGTACCTTAAATTTCCAGTTGTAGTGCCAATGGCCAATGGCAAGGGGCCTTGTGACGTGTTTAGACTGCCGCCAGAAGGACCTCTCATCCTAGAATTCCACTATTTTGTTTCTGTGTAATTCTACGAAAATTGTGAATTATGTTATGCATGTCACTTAACTTATATTTCCAGTCAGACATTGATAGTTGATATTTTGTAACAGTGTAACAATTTTAATAAACATTAGAAACAAAATAGTTTCTCATTGTAATAGAAAATAAAAGAATTGTAATAGAAAATAGAATAGAAGTTCTAAATATTTTCAAGAAAATTAAGAAAATGTGATAAAAATATGATGTGAATAAAATATGATTATAGGTACAGTCACTCTGCAATAGGCAAACATACGAGGGTTGCAGAATAGTTCATTTTTTTATCAAACTAATCGATAGAGAATGTTCTGAAATGTCCAGAAAACATAAACCTTTTTATCAAATTCCTATCTGTCAAAATTTATTAAAAATTGTGAGAAAGTTCAAATATTTCATGAACATTTTTAAAAAATCACAGACAATATCAATTAGGTATATCATCGCCAATATGTGCTATAGATTTGTTATCTTGTATGAAATAAATTAGGCAAGGGCCAGGTCTCATACAGTGGCAATAGTCGTTGGAATTTCAACGACTTTCACTGAAGTTATCGACCAATTTTTTTACTTTACAACGACAACTAATGGGACTCTTCCACAATAAACTTCTGACGACTGCCAACAAGCGACTTAGCAAGACCCGACAAGATACGACTGCGGTACTGACTAAAACCCGGACCCCAACAGCGCATTACGAGCGGCGGATGTAAAATGTTCAGCCCCGGGACAACGCAACCATCATATGTATTGAAGCTTGCAAAAATAATCTGACAGATTACGCCAGTGTTTTTTCCACTTAGAAGCTAGAATCAAACTTTCTTGAGGAAATTTTCTGCATGTTATATTTTTATTTTAACCTTGACATGTAAGAGCATGTAGGAGTGCAATATATTGCAGTGTTTTTATGCATGATATTCATGCATTTTAACCGATTACGTACATCTGAAAATTTGTATGCAAAATATTACGATGTTTGTGTGCATGAAATTCACGCACTTCAACTTAATACGCACATCTGACAGTCTGTATATGATATATATGAATATATCATAAGGCCTGTATTCATGTTATGCATGTGCTCCAACACTACGTATACATCTGAAAGCTTGCATGTAATATATTACGATGCCTGTATTCATGATACTCGCGCACTTTAACAATACGTACATCTGAAAGTTTGTAAGCAATGAAATCCGAGTTTGATGAAACTTCATAAGACCTAACGGTGATGTTCAGCTTGTAAAATTTTTTCCATTTCACCTTCATTCCTGAGTTAAACTTTGACCTGTCTCCAAAGCATTCGTGGTGCAAGCACGTCATCAGCAACTAACAGTACGACTCCCGTTTCTTGGGTTGTTCGAGAGCCAAGGGATTGCCTGCAAGATGCCAGTGACTTTATCGTCAAACTCCGCATTGAATTGGAAAGAAGACTTCGAACGTCTGTTCCAGCTGCTGTCGAAGTCCTGGGAGAGGCTTTTGACCTCTCCAAACTCATGTGTCTTCAAGCAGGAAGGTGGAGCGCTCCCTTACAAGAAGCTTTGTTAACAAAAAGCAGCGAAACGGTGCAGAAGGCTTTTGTCTCTTTCTTCAATAATTTGAAAAAGATCCCTCATCTTAAAGTAAGATTTAAGTTACTATTTTGCAGTTATAAACAATGCCATGATACTTGCTTTAATTATTTTCATATTGTGTACATCGTTTAGAAAACGCAGTTACTCTAAGAAGTTCAGGTCTAACCGTCTAACTTCTCAATTATAAGGAAATGCAATATTGGTATAAAGAATCAATTCTCGAACGACTTTATCGTTCATTTTACTCTAAAAAATTCTAATATCTACATTGATAATAGGATGACCTTCGGGAAGAAAATGCCGTTGAAGTTTTCCAGCAAGCTATGGCAACCTTCAAGTGGATAGTTTGGTCAGAGTCGCCCGAAGCCTCGTCAGTGAGGAAGGAAATTTTTAAGTCTGATGATGCTTATGATGGCAGCAGGCCAGAAGCATTCTCTCCGGAGTCCAATTGTCAGATGGGGAAGTTCGATCAGACTTTCTCGTGTAAATTAAATGAGTCAAGCCTCAGGCTCACCTTCAAAGAAAAAAAATTAATTTCAGTAATGTAGGTACCTCGAGTCTTACATTTACACGAAAATCGGAAAGCCTTTCTGTCTAGCTTTCGACATTGCACTGGCCAAAGGAGGCTGTGAGGCGATCGTTGAAAGTCTTTATTCGGTCATGAATGCGCAAATTCAACATGGTGGACAGTCAAATGATGTATTAGTGAACCGTAAAAAAGTAGATTGGCACTGCCCGCTATCTTCGCTAGGCGTAATGGATTTCATTACGGATGCAGCAAAATTGCACCAATCTAAGCACTCTGTCCCCTACACACGCTTAAACTACGGTGCATCAGCTATTGTGAAACGTCTTAAGACGGAGAAAGGGCGCATCCCTGACAAAATGTGAACTTATCACCTTGATGTTATGTTGCAGTATTCTTTAGAAATAAGGATGCTCGGTTTCTGTTAGAACCAGCACATGCGGTAAGAATGGTTGAAGGTTACTAAATAGGCTATTGCTTCAATATCGTATTATTATGATGCTCACTTAGGCGGATCACTTCATAACGGAATCACTTCACTTTTTCAATAACTGTCTTTGAATTACGTGATTTTTTATTTTCTGCCTTTATTGCAGTGACAAAATGAACTAAGTTCATAGCGGGAAAGAAAGTCATGATCATAAATGAATCATCGAAATATGAAAACTTTCATCATCTAATACAGTACCATGAGGGTAATTCATGTCTTATTGCTCGAGAATCAAATTTGACGTGAAAACAAGTATCAGCGTTTTTTTTTCTTCGTCGTAATAAGTAATCTTCAACTTGGTAAGAAATCATGTATACTGTCAATAGATGCCAAAAAATGACTGCGTTTAAATGGTAAATTGCTTCGTTTGTAATGTTCGCGTCCTAATATTATTAGTGTGGAGAACATTTTTCTGTAAAAAGCATTGTATAATATTAAAAAAATGTAAACCTGCAGAAATTAATAGAGATTGAAAACAGTTTATCCCTACACGTCCGTATTATAGGTGTAGGAAGAGGATCCACCGTCTGCGTGCTTGTTGTCCGTTGTTTCAGGAAGTGACCGGGCAGGCGGCAGCTATACGGCACGACAAAAACTACGTATACAGTAAAACTATTTATCATTTATGCACGTTTCTAGATTTTATTATTGAGGCAACGAACTTATAAAGGAACAATTGTTTTATTCTAAATTTAGATGTTATTCAACGTTTTGATTCTATTTATCAATTCCGTGAGAAGTGCCAAGAACTTCAACCAAATCCGCGCGAAACCTTTTTTGAGCAATTCCGTGACATTTTCTAATTTGAGTACCTCTGTTCGGTACCTTAAATTTCCAGTTGGGGGTTGGCCAACCCAATAAAAATTACAACATTTGAACATAAAATTTAAGGAAAACATATACCATCACCATTGTAATCATTGTGTACACCTAGTCTATACATACATAGAATTCAGAAGAATAATCTCCAATAGGGCCTAGGTAGCTAGGCGCTAGCCTAGCTACTAGCCTAGCCTACTCAAGAGGCCAATAGGCAATAGCTGAATAGCCTAATAGGGTTGGGTCAACCTACTGGTAAAATGGTAATGCAGCCTTAGCATAATTTACATGATATGAAATTCAAACAGCACATCTTTGAGCTTAATGGCAATTAAAAAAAACACTCGCTCGTTTTTTAACCGGCATACATGATACAATCAAAAATTATTAATACTCACAACTTACCTTGTTCTATCTTGAATTTTTCGAATTCATTCTTGATACAGTCATATTCACCACATTTACGCAGCCATCGCTCCTGTAATCTTTCAGAAACCGCTGCAGGAAGATTTTGTTGGATTTCATCATCAGAAAACCCCTCGAATAAATTAACTTCAACTGCCCCCATATTGCATGTTCTATTTGAATATTCGATCGCACACACTACTTCCCGCAACCGACGCTGTAAAGGTTTACTCTGAAATGGCGGATGGCATCGCTTCTAACCGTGATTCTATTATTGCAAACGCGTATGTAAATTATGAATTAAGAACCGTTAAAAATTAAGCCTGCATAGATTAAAAGGGCCAAATGATTTAGAATAATCAGTATAACTACAGATATTATGCATAATTTGAAAACGTAATTTGAAGTTCACTAGCTATTGAATTAACGCGAGTGAGATGTCGTTAGATATGACTGCTTCAGTTTTAAATTAATAGGTAATGTTGAGTTCCGACACTTCTGAACCAAAATTTGGCACAACGCACGAGGCAAACTTTATAAGGCATTCATTTAAAACCCTTTGATGCATAGCTCGGAATTAGTTGAATTAATTGAATTAAAACGCATTTTCACAATTAACAAAAACGTTTTTTATTCGCAAAACGCTCGTGTGAGAGTTACCCGGATTTTTTAGCCGCTTTGTTTCCGCTTTGCTCGCCAATGTCGCCATAAGTAAAAGATTCAGTACTCAATATACGCTTACATTGCTCAAATCAAAATTCATTTTCTATTAATCAACAACTAAGGTTATTGGAGAAGATAGGCTGCAGCCATGGGCTGCAGCAGTCAGTGCCTTTTTTTCGGAATGATACAAGACTATAGGAATAGTGCTTTATTGTTTCATACAATAAACGAAGCGAATTACAAGTTAGAAAACTACAGTCCGATGAGAAATTCTACCTAGCAATTGCGGCTAATTCTAAAGAATATACCCAGCAATACGTCAATAATCTAAGTACATTATAAAGAAGCGGCTAATCTAACTGACATTTATCTGACGCCAATTTATGGATTTTTAAGTGTTTATATTGATTTGTTTTAAAAATTTTCAATTTAAATTTCACTTCCAAGACAGACTCCATGAAGGAATTGACCCCATGTCCCCCTATGCTGTGGCCAACATGACGCGTGATTAGTAAAGATTAAAGAATAATGTATAAGTGATGGTAGAATTCCCAATTTCATAGCGAACACTTTCAATCTTTTCAATCTCGCAAAATGATTAGCATCTCCAATAGAACAATACGATGACAGAATCAATATTGACACCGGTACATGAATCGCCTTCCGCACTTCATTCGGAGGAGACCAAATCGTTTAACTTAATTTAACTAAGGTCACATTTCGAGAAAAAGTGTCGTTCACGGGCTATTTCTTCGGATAAGCTCTGCAATCATGCGAGTTTTGTTGTCGCTGGGCACAGTTTGCCAGTCTCTGTGGGCAACACCGAGCGACGCGATGAATCGAATCGTTGTGCTTTGCAATGAATAATTGCGAAAATTGTTAGTGGGCAGTGAAGAAACTAATGAGATTAAATTTATTACTTCAATTTTTAATTGTAAAAGAGTTCAATAATATTAGTTGATTGCTATTTTTTTTCAATATGAGGAACCTGTGGCTGCTAAAGCTTTAGCTGATGTTGACTTTCTTGTGTGAAGTAATAATTGGTACCGTTTTTACCGCTTCTTAAACTTTGAAAAGGGGAAAATGAGGCGTCCATAAATAACTGTTGGACAAAAGACTATTGAAACTCGACAGGAATATACAGGTGCACTTGTAAATGTTAATATACTTTATAAGGTGCTTGTTATGCACTATTATTTTTGTGATTCTCCGAAACTCAGTCAAATTATTTCCTCCCAAGACCTCGCGACTGGCAGGTCGTGGCTCGGTGTGGTTCATTTACTACTATGGATTCGTGGTATGTATGAATTTAATGCTTGCTGTAACCTCAAACTAATTGTCGCCTGCCAGCGAACTTGTTAGATTTCGATTTTTTATTAAAAAATGTTAATGCTCCTTTTTTGCACAGGAATTTTCTTTGTCATGGTCTAAAGAGCCAGCCGTGGTATCATAAATTGGCGTGGTTTATGATAGCTAAATAGTTATCAAAGATATTAAATGAGTTTGAAAATAGTGTATTTCATTTATTGGGAAGATGAATGGAAGGGGACGAGTTCCATTCAATGTTTGAAGACCACGAAGCGTCGCAGTTCAGCCTTCCTGTGCCGTGCACGACGTGATGCGGATCTGAGAGGGCCAATTGCATATGCTCTTCTCAGGGTCCCAGTAGGTGCCTGGCTTGCATGACTGCACCACAGGATCTCCGTGCACGCACCAGTAGTACTAGAACAATATACTTCACTGTTGATTTTTGACTCATACTGTGTCCTTAAAATACGAGAGATAACCAACAAAAGAGTAGCATGAACAATAAACTTTTTGGGCAAGTTGAACCTATTAATTCAACATTGGATTCTAAATACACTTAAGGAACATGTCTTCGTCGTGAACACTGCACTTGAAATCAGTTTTTGCGAGTATGATACTCTCTGACTTTGCTAACCGTTTACCTGAGGAGATCTAGTGAATAATTGAAATTTGTAGGCCAATTTGAGTATTGCAACATGGATAGTTAATTATTGAGAAGCAAAATATCTACTATACATGATATCTATTACTTCCTGAAGTGGCCGAACTTTCGATTTAGCCATTACCTTATCGCACTGATCGTGAGGGAAATATTGCTGCTGAGTGCAGTCCATTTTTTGTTGGCCGACACCAGGAGGTGAAGATTCAGGAGCCTGCGTAGGGCCGTGATCAGGCGTGGTAGCTAGGACGGAGACAGGGGCAGCCGAGGAGGGCGTCGTGGCGGCAGGAGTGGTGCGTGATGGCGTGGGCACAGGAGCTTGAGTTGGTGCTGAGCCGCCAGACGAAGATGGCCGAGTTGGACCTTCCCACGGAGTTTCCCAAGGCTTCTGTTAACACATCATGAAAGGATATGGTAATGAGTGAATTTATTGGTTACTTTATGATTGAAGATATTTACTTTACCTGTAAATACCACAAATATGTAACACTAACAGTGCAATCGTCATCCTTACAATCAAAATATTCCTATGAGCTCTGCGTTGGATATTCATCTTAGTGTCAGAAGAACAAAACCAATAATAATCCCACCAAGAATAATCTTACACTGGGTTTAGGAGGCTGGGCAGGGGGCACCGGCACGACGTAGTTCTTCATGGAGTTGTAGAGGACCGTCATGAGAGGGTTGACGGGGCCGCAGGTGCCTTGGAAGTCGTCCATGTCGATCGCCCAAGTCATGGCGCCGCCATATCCCTGAGCCCTGATGAAGTCCATCTTAATCTGCAAACTCTCGACGTCTTCGTAGCCAACCCACTGGTCACCTGTCGAAATTCAAACGTCTTATATAAATCATTTCTAAGTGTGACAGCCATAAGCGCCTTCGTGCTTGGAAGATCATTGAGAAGAATTTTGTCAGGTTCTTATTTATTTATTTAACAATTTGATTTTGTAGTGAGTCAAAATTAGTATGAGTTGGATTGCATTGGCGATGAAAGTGAAGAAAAGCGTTAGCTTACTGATACTTTTTCTTTTTCGTGTTTAATGCACGACTGAAACAATGTTAACATTTTAATCTCATAATGCTCATAATTTAATTTTGAAATTCCCGTGAATTGTTAGCTTAACTAATATACTGTCGGAAACAAATATTTTTTAACATTTCACCTGCATAGGCGTAGGGGCATTTTCCAACGTCGTCGAATTTCTTGGTCCAGCCAGAGTTGGCGTCGCTCACTAGGGGGCAGATCTAACCCAGGGAATAAATAAGGAATAAATGAAGAATAAGCGAGTATTGGGAATTCAGTCTCTCGTGAAACTTTCATGTAGGTCATAGAGATTAATGAGTATTTATTACTGCGCCTGCATTGATCATGATAGTTGAATTCGTGTCGATATATCATGTTCCCAGAACAAGCCACGAGTTCATTTTTAATGAATTTTATAGGTTGAATGTAGTTAAATTTTCATGCAACTTTCATTATCATTTGTTTACGGTTCTAATTTACTAAGTGAAATGGAACTCAAGTAGTAAATTAAGCTGCTTCGTTGCTCTCATTTCAAATTTCTATAAAATGTAGGAACTCGATGCAAATTTACTAAATTATATGCTCCAAATTTGTTAGTATACCCAAAAGCGTAACCAAGACATTTGAAAATAATTCTATAAATCACTATCATTTGCCGACGTTTTGGACAAAATATTATCAAAGAAGAATTTTATTTTAAAAATGAACAAATTTCCTTCCATAAATGACTTCCTTTAGTTTCACAGGTGAACAAATTTCATTTATTAAATTAGTAAATTTCATTTTACATTGATTCACGTAGGACTCGTATACTGCACCTCGTAGTAAGCCAGGAATCCTTTAGCGCCTGTGTAAGGTCCGGGCTTGCCGCCCCCCTCCCACTTCTTGATGCCCGCGCGCAGGTCGGTGTTGTCCTTGCTGCCCAGGGTGAAACTGCGGCCGTAGAACGGCACCCCGACGATGAGCTTGTCTTTAGGACAGCCTTCGTCTACCCACAACTGCAGACCGTCTTTCTGCGCACGCCACCAGCATTATAACGCACGTCACGAGGAAATATTTTTGCATCGATCATCTGTGACAACTCAGTTAATTTACGTTTACATCTTTCGCCGTTCGATGACAGTAGTTACAATTTAATTTGAGGGTGGGAATACTTTTTTGGAGTATTTAATAAATTCCTCTATATTCAAGATGCAAAGAAAATAGGTTGCAGTCTAATTTAAATCTCCCACTGTCAATCTATCAAAAGTTACAACATATCCTTGAGAACGTCCTCCTTCTTGAACGCTTCATCCAAAAATTACAATGAACCAATAAGATGAGCTCGGCTTATGTGAAGTTTTCTCGGTAACGAACGCGATTCTAAAAGAAGGATGTTCATTTGATTATATAGTTAACTTATTCAAAGCAAGCTATATAATCTCCAGGATATAGTTCTCCAGGGTTAGAATTAATTATACAGACCACGTTGAGTTTCTCGTAGGCCCACTGATCGAAGGGCCGTTTGTAGAGGGGCGAATGAACGTCGGCAAAGCCAACCCAGTTGCCTCGTAGATCATAAGTCATCACGTGGATAGCATCCAACATCCTGCAAATCAATGCATTTAACTCATTCATTAAATGATTACTAATACCATATTCAGTAGTGTCTAGAAAGTTACTGTAGTTACTGCATTGTCTGTGGGAGAATTATACTGAAATTTTCCGATGCATAAAACGAGGAAAATTTTCTTGTATTTTCCGAGATCAACTCACGAACAAAGGGTACTCACGAACAAAGGTCGTGTACGTGGTAGCCTTCCTGCAGCCGGAACTTCGCTACCGGTACGGCCATGGAGATCTCCCAGCCCTTGTTCTCGACGTAGAAAGCTTCGCGTAACTCCTTCACGAAATCCCTGCGAGAAGCAAACACCTTATAAAGAAATTGAGGGGCTGAAATAGCAAACGTGAAGTGATCAGAATGAGCTGATCATTAACCTTATAGTAGTCCAGGTACAGTTCAATATACCGTTATTATTAGGCGATTGAGTCACTTTCAGACAAACGAGTGAAAGAAGTTCGTTGTTGATTGCATCATTTAAGCAAGTTAATGAAATAGAAAAAATGTCCACTGTGGTAATCGAAATTGGTGCGTGATGACCTAGGCTGCGAAACTTCTCTCAAAATAAAAATTTTAAATAACACTCCTCTTATCAGAGGAGAATATTGTTTTTAGTCATTTTTGGATGCTGTCGTGTCAGTCTACTCCTCTCTCTCATCCTTCAAGCGCTCTCCATGCAATAGTCCTCCCCACTCCCAATCATAACCGAAATTGTATACCAACCGCCAAACACAATACTATTGTCATCCATTAATTCCTTGTTCTCCCACACCGCGCGCCACCATCAGAACCCAGATTATCCACAAGGCGATGATGTTAGATTCGAGTTTATTTATTTTTCAGATGCTTGACACAACGAAAATCGCATTGCGACAATCAATTGCATGCAGTATTAGAAATCAACATTGAACGTTTTGGACCAAAATGAATACATCCCAGACTTTGAGCCCGCGTCCTATAAAAGTGGCACGTGTACCTGAATGCATCTTTATCTTTGAACCCGCCGCCTCGGTCCGTTGCTCCTGGGTACTCCCAGTCAAGGTCGAAGCCATCAAAGCCGTACGTGTTCATGAACTCTGAAGCAAAGAAGGTAAACGCATAAATCCCTTGAAGATTACGCTAAATTTACAAAATGGTGATCCATCTTAAAATCTTTTGGAACTTCACATTTCAAACACTGAAAACTTCAAGAAGTGGATGCGTGATGAATTTACATCTTTGGAAACGACCTACATAACAGCTTATAACTCATAATACTTACTGACGATGCTGCGGATGAGAGACGTGCGCCGCTGGGGCACCTGAGCCATCTGCGAATATTTCTTGCCGCCCTCCCCCCAGCCGCCGATGGCGAGCATCGAGTAAACTCCGGCCTTCGACTTCGCAACGGCCGTGAAGTTCGCGAAGCCGTTCTTCACGATGTCGTTCTGCAACACGTGGGAGTTGGGTGAGTATAACATCATTGATGACGATTACAATCTTACTAGACCGAATTTTATATTTGAGTCGATCACTTCAGGTTCGTCTCTCAGTAAATAAACTTGCAGAACTTAGTAATTATATGTTGTTCAACTCACAACAACAATAACTTATTCGTGAATAAAAAATTATAGTGCTTTTGAATAAAATATGAGTATGAGCTTGATCTTAAAGAAAAAAGGTTTATTGGCGTACCTATTATAAAAAAGGAATAAATGTCTAGGGAACCTGCCACAACGGTACGGTACCTCTTCATCCAAGACCAGCACTTCCCACGTTACATTCGAGACTCCAATGAAGGAATAGACGATGTGGGTACACATTTCAGCCGGCATGTCCTCGATCCTGTAGCTACCAATGCCAGGTCTGTACACGGCCCAGTTTGAGAAGTAACAAACTATGCGTGCTTTCCTCTCGGGTAAGATCACCGCCTGCGTCAGGAGGGTTGCGACCGCCGCAAGAACTGCTCCTGTTGCCAGGAGCCTTCTCGACACCGCCATCTTGTTATGAGTCTGAGGGAGAGATATTTCGTGGCTTTGAGTGATGTAAATTAAATAGAAATTTTGAATAGTAAATAAATGGAACTATTAATACCGATTCTATCTATTTCAAATATTGAATTAATTATCCTCATGATTTCACTCTGGCTCCCACAAGGATTAAATTTTCATAAGTTAAACTTTCGCCATATGTACAATAACACGGTAATTAAAGTAAACTACATCATCAAGCAGTGCTTAAATTGGGGGTCTGGTTTTTAAGGTGGAATAATTTGATGTACGTTGTGGTTCTAGCCAACTTTTCCGGCGACAGCAAAACATTTATTAATTTATTCGGGCACTTTATTTGAGAGCAATACAAGCACATATATACACAATAATTATGCAAGCACCAGTGGAGTATAGCAAGTATATACGTGCCTAAAATTCACAAAATTACTGAGATATATACGCTCAGATTACGTGACTAGTCTTTTGTTTGATCATAAAGTGCCCGCCAATGTTATAACTGAGACACAGCATTGCTAGCCACGCATACCGACGAATAAAAAATTGTCGATTTAGAGCACAGCTACAGAAACTTGACAATAATAATGAAAATAATTTCGGAAAGATATATTTTTATGCAAAGGTATGAAATACGATGAATATTTAATGCATCATTGCATCAGCATCGCTAATTCCGGTGGTAATCTCACACAGTTTATCGCTGTTCACAGTGCCGTGCTTATTTATTTTACTCTGTTACTTCTTTCCTTACCAGTTAGGACGTACGTAAATACTGCACAAAAAATACTAAGATAACAAATTCAGAGTCTCTGCTACTGTCAACTTGCATCTTTATAATATAATAAAATATATTACAATACATTACAATATAATACAATATAATACAATGATACAGAATAATACTTAAAAAAATTGCGCTAGATAACTTAGGATTAACACATAAGCTCAGTAGCAGCAGCTGCGTTTCTGAACTCTCATTACAAAATATTTATAAGGCCTGTTTCTAGAAAGCAACCGCTCACTCAAGGGTCAGTATTAATAAATACTATTAAATGTCAAAAATAATAACAATAATTAGACTAAAGCAACTCAGTAGCAAGTCTGCGGTTAGACATGAACTGGTTTCGCAGAAAACCGAGCTGCCCAGGGGTCTCGAGAATGTCCTATTCTGAAGGGTAGGCAAGGTTACCTGAACGAGTTAGAAGGATAGGTAGCAGGTATGCGAGCAATGATCAGCCTCATATAAACAGACCTACACTGCAAACTGGTCTAGGGTCGACAACCTCGAATAACTAATGCAGTCGCCGGCAAGCGAGTTACTGCCGCGGACGAAAAAAGGATGAAATTTGATAAGTCTGGCCAAAAGTATATAAGGTATAAAATTAAAACCTAACTACGTTGATGATAATTAATTAACGCAGTCATTTCTATTTTTCCTCGCGAAACAAAACAATTATAATAAAAAAGAAATTTCCCATTCCCGTTTTTGACTCCTCGTAATGACTTAAATTTTTTGCTGCAGTAATTTTACTTAATTTGCCCTAATTGGGTTGGACTATTACCGAAAGTTATCGTCTTATTTTTGCATTCGTTTCTTCTTTTAAGTATTAATGCCGTTAATGATAATAATTTTGTGTAAAACACTTATTATGAACTATAAAATCCAGGAAAAATGTTCCTTATTATGCTAAGTTGTGTCTTTGTTATACATAATATCCGGCAGGAGCTGTTACGTACTATTAAAGAAATCTTGTAAATTATTGCAACTTAAATCATTGTGGATTCGGCTCACCAAATTGCACAAATTCCCCATTTGATTGAAGCTGCCGCTGTGAAGCTCAACTATAGCTTTCCGTTCGATACTAGCTGGCATCAGTAAAAACCAAATCTTATCTTTCAAAATGTAATCTATTTAATTCGTGTTCCTGATACTTCTTTATGTTATTTATTCCTCGATTATCAACTCGTTGGAGAAATGGCCATCAAGTTATCTCCATTGTAATGGCTTGACATACCTCTGACTGGAAGCCCTACCTAACACCTGGCCTTGACTTTCACAGCAAAAACTCAAGACCATTGCACTCGGCGCCGAAAGCTGCAAACCACCCAAACCGGTGATAGGAGCGTCGCTATCAACGCCCGGGTGACTGCATGTGCTTAATGCCCCAAACTTGATACCAAGCCTTCGTCATTGTTTTGTGCTAGGGAGCAAATTGGATTTTAACGAATAAGTTATTTGGTAAAACGAGAATTAAACGCCCGGACGCAATAGCCGGAAAGTCGCTCATGATATTAAAAACTACATGGGTAGTTTTATTGAATAACATCAATTGGAGCGTAATAATATTGAATATTAATATATTGGATAATATTGAATAATTCCTTCTTTACCATTGACAACACTTGCTTATCAATTGCAGCTGAGTAATCTTATTGTTATTGTTGATTCTATTACCATTATTATATTGACTCTAAATACTTGATGATGTGTACTGACCAATTCGGGATCAAGACTTGCGTGAATGTCTTCAAATTAAATGATAGCTAGTTGATTTGTTCATCTATTGCCTATTCTGTGGGCAAAGAAATATTTTTGAGTTAGAAAGTTAACCTTTTAATGTGTTATTTTATAATCAACGCCAAACTGTCGCATTAAAATTGTTTAATAATTGTTTCTATGTATATATATTTATAAGGGGCCGCGGAGATATAAAAGATTCATCAGAGAAGTCAGCATTAAACTACCGAGGGCTTACAGCATGGAGCTGTGATAAACAAATTGTATGAATGTTTTATTAATGATTATTTTCCACGCACACGTCGATTTGAGATAATTAATGTAGCTACATCTTATTGGTAAACTCCAGTAACAACAATCCACAAAAAAAGGTAAGTCAGAAATGCGATCATGCAGATCTGGTCAACCTTTATACAGAGAAAACTATATTCATTCAAAACAAACATGTTGTGCATGCAGTGGACTGAAATTTACGATAAAATTATTCTGTCTAAAAGAAACTTTACAGTAAATGATCACACGAGAACAAAAACCGTTTGCGCAGAATGAGTATTCATCTCTAGATCACCATGTGCGACTCACCTGTTTCAGGCTGCGGTGAGTGAGGAGGCAGACGAGCTTACTTGTTCGATGCTCGAGCGTCAGACGACGCACTGTACGTTGACCATCTCACTGGGGTCTTCTATAGCCCCGCGGGGGGTTGAGGAGGCGGTGGGTAGAGGATGCAGCTCTATATCGGGCTCTGCCTGAGGTATATTCAGGATATCTTATTAAAAAGTTACCACAGTGGAGTGCTTGCATTTAAATTCATATCAAGTGCGATGGACTTTATCCATGTCCAATCAGACACTCCTGTCATTTAATTTTAAAAGCCTGGTTTTACTGAATTTTATACTACGTTACAAATATCAATGCTGGCTCTATAAAATCTGCTTTTTATTTGTATGAAGTTGATCCTTTGTGTGCAGCAGCACCATATTTATCCTAATGTGCTTTAACGTGTGGTATCTTTGAAACCAGTTTTAGGTGTGTTAAATTGCAGCTATTTGGGAAAATGACCTTTATTTCTGACTGAAGAAAATGATTATGTATTAAAAGTTGGTGAAAAGTATTAAGATATGAGACATTGGGCGCAAACTGATACTTTATTTCACTTTTTTTACTTCATCAGTTCTGCCTTTTATCAAGGCATTCCCTTAGCCCTAACCAATTTTTGAAACTGCATTTTATTTTTCAATACATTCCGCTACGTATTCGTTATTATAAAAGTACGAGCATAAAGAAGAATCTCCTGTTTTGGAAAAAATAATTTCTCTCATTGCATTCTTTCGTCTTTATTGAAGTAACCGAACGCGGCCATCTTAATTCACTCTTCTATATTCAAGGGCAGCAATGTGACTCACCAAAATATTTCACCGGAAGGCCAACGAACGAAAAATATTTTCACCACTTCACGCCAACAATTTCCTAGACTTCTAATTTACGACCTCGCCTTTTCAAGCCTTAAAGACGAAAAGTCGTTCTCGGCAGCTAAGAGTTCTTTTGTTGAAGTGCTAAAGATGCGAAGGTGTGAAGAGTCGCAGGCGAACCGTCGGAAACGTGACTCAGATGGCCACAGCTGTGAATATTTTGGTAGATTTATACCTATGTTTACCGGACATTGAAAACAATGAGTTAATCGATGATAGTAAAAAAGTCTTCAGCTGCAGGTAGAACCGAAGGCAACAAAAGTGTTAATTACACTTCTGCGCCCAATTTTTTGGGACAATTTATTCTGCGTCCTGCAGAAGCGTTCTGTCGCACGCGTGTGAAGCTTCTGAACAAGGGATTCGATCATATATAGGTAACTATCCAACCAACGAACTACGTTTCCCTGTATGAGCTGCATGAAAGATATGCATGGTATGATAAAATAATTCGTTAAATCACTACGTCTGAATCACAAGTGTAAGCTGGACTGAATTTTCCCCTAGCACAGCTGAAGGGAAAATAAAAAATATGCAGTTAACGGTCAAAATCTTGCATGCATTTTTATTTATTTTTTTTTTTGCGAGCTACTACAACTCATCTTGACAAACGCACCGCAGCTGCATGATGGTTGCAAAAAATATTCTAAGTACAGGATATGACTACATTTACAGATCATAGAATGCCGAAAAAAAAGACATTGATACAAATTTAACAAAACTATAAAAAGCGGCTATTTCTAACATAGAAAGAAACTAAAATAAGATCTACAGTCACAGTTGGCAAAAATCTTAACCAAAAAAGTGTTCTACTAATGTTTATTCCCGCGATTAAAAAAAGCTTTATTACATAATCGTAAAACTGTCAATTTCTGAGCATTATATAATTGTATAGAAGTACATGGCTTAACGAATATAATGCAATATTGATAAATTCATCCTCCTCGTCGATCAGCTCTGACTACAATACATGGATGTGCATAGCTCAAAGGAAACTTAAAGTACTAGCTAAGCGTATCCTTCTTACTCGATGAGCTTCAATGATGATTTCAAATAGAATAAATGAATGTAATTCGAATGAGTATCTAAGGCTAGTTTAAAATATTCTTGCTATGCAATGAGCTTCAATGACGATTTCAAATTGAGTAAATGAATGTAACTTGAATGAGAACCTAAAGCTCCTTTAAATTATCATTGCTAGGCAATGTGCTTCAATGATTATAAATGATATAAATGGATTAACCTCGAACAAGAATTTGAAAGCTTACACGAAGTATATCTGCTTTTCAATAATCGATTAAGATTATAAAATAATAACTGAATACACCTCGTAGGTGAATCTAAAAGCTAACATCAAGTTTTCCCGCTATTCAAGAAGCTATAGATAGATTATAAGATTATATAGATAGATTATGTGTAGATAAGAAGCCCTTGAGTAAGGCCGTTCGATCGTAGACTTAAAAAAGCTGATATTGTCCAGTTTAAAACATGAAAAGGTTGAGTTTCTAACGCGAAAAACGCATTAATTTAACGAAAAATTATTCTACCCAAGAAATAACTTTTTTAACGCAAATAATTCAATAGAATTCATCGGGAAAAAAAATCCGAAGGACTCGTGGTATATAAATTATCAGAAACCTTAAGACTAATTCACTTTCCTAATCTGAATGCACAACGTCAACATTATCTATTCTTTCATAAAAATACATATCAAATTTGCATGCCAGTAGCATCACAATTATTAATCATAACAATTTATTGATCAGAAAGATTTTCATCCCAAAATTTTACTAAAAATTTCATTACATAAACTCCGTACTTCAAAAATTTAATTACAATAGTCCGACGAGTGGACAAATGTGAATTGTACATAAAGGATCGATTGTTGGAATTTTTCGAAAATTATTGATGAAAATTTTCAAAATACGGGTGAGGGGCGTCCAGGTAACAAAATTGACGAACAAAATATATAAAAAACGCATTAGTCTGTCATTGAGCGTTGATTGCGTATACTTACAACATATAAGAATATAATAAGAAACGGTTGTGTATAGTCCACACGTTTCCTCGCAAATTATAGCAATAATTAACTCAAGATATCTATCTATGCTACTATACATGCATATTGACGAGCCTTCTTAACGCAAAACATCCTATTCATTTATATTTACGCTATTCAATTAAATATTTTATTTATCAGAACTTTTTACGAAATTGATGGATAATTGACAATTTCTAATGTTTTCTCACATCTCATTAACGAAATCATGATAAATTTTGAAAGCAAATTTCTAAAAATATATCCTGAAGTATTATGCTGTCTTCCAGCCTTCCTCCTTCATCCATTTTATCATTTGTTTGATTTCATCCTTCGCCTCGATGCCGAGCTGTCCCTCTGGCTGCACCTCCGGCTCGTAGCTCAGCACCCGCGCGCACTCCACCAGCGCGTCGTACCCCTCCTGGCGGAACAAAAACAGTGTAAGTACAAGGGCAATTAAAACCCATACTGGAAAATATAAGTGCGCGATGGGTAAGTTTAACATCGTTTTATCCAGTGCTACCAGCTAAACTGGCACAATCTATAATATGTGTCGTCCAGAGCTGGGTAGCGCTACTTTGAAATGTAGCGGCCGCTACCGCTACATGCTCTAAATGTAGCGGGTGCTACCGCTACCGCTACAATTGCTTAAATGTAGCGCCGCTACCGCTACCGCTGCAAGTGCTTAAATGTAGCGGCCGCGGCCGCTACCGCTACAATTGCTTAAATGTAGCGCCGCTACCGCTACTGGAAATGTAGCGGCCGCTACATGTAGCGCGCTACTGCCCACCTCTGGCTGACATCAAACAGTTGTCAAGCAATCGTGACTAAGTGTAAGTACAATGGCAATTAAAACCCATACTGGAAAGTATAAGAGATGTGGAAGTTTCACATCGTTCCATCCATTGCTACCAGCTAAACCGGCACAATCTATAAATTGTGACGTCAAGCAGTTGTAGCTCAATCGTGACAATCCATAACACGAGGCGAGGTAAGATGAAGCTACTACATGTTAAAGATAACAAATGGTAAACTGTCCAAATGATGAGGTTACCTTTGCGAGCTTCTTGGCAATTTCGTTAGGAATGACGTTGCTCTGGAACATTGAGATAGTCTTGTAGAAGATCGACTGGTAGAGTTCGTAGAGCACTGAGCCGCGGAGGCGAGACACACCTGATGAAAAAAAAAATTAGTTCACAAGCTACAATTGCAACTTCTTGATGACTTGCATAGAGCATAGATACGCAAAAAATTGCGAGTTGATGAATTTTACACTTAATAAACGAGAGCCGTGATGAAATCGGGCAAATTCAAATCACATGCCATAACAAATACATTTCACGTTCTTACTGAATTTCACTTAAATAATAAAATCTAAGCTATATATATATATATCATTCATTTCCAGTGAAAATTTTCCTTCAATTTTTGGATATTAGTATTACACAGTTTGGAGTCTTAATTAATCAATAATATCGGCATCCAAAAATCTTCTGAGCTAAACACAGCATGTTCAATTGCACTTTTCGCAAGTATGACGATCCTGAAGCTGCAAAACTGTTTGGCTTTACCAATTCCTAAATGTAATTAAACAAAATCCCACAGAGTATTGATGCGTTTTATGAGGCTAGAGTGGGGTCGGCGCGTACAAGTAAAGCAGCCTTTAGCAGGTCGGAGCCAAAATAGCCTGTAAGTCGCACCGCATCCCAGCTCACGACACAGCGTGGGCCGCGCACTGCGCACCTCCAAGAATAAATGCTCACAGCTGCTGGGAAGACAGGCACCAACACGCTAATATTATGACCCCTTGCTTGCTCTCGCCTAACTAGCATCTTGAAGAAAGCCGTCTATGAGGAGCGCCGTACTTTCGATTTCTATCGAAATTATCGATATTCTGAATCTTATCCCTCGACTGACATTAAGTGAACGGCAAAACCTAAAATCTCCACATCGTGTGAAATATATTATTTTAACACCGTTCGCTAAATCTAATACCATGATTTAAACACAACTTCCGTGATCAAATATGAATTGTGGAGCAGAATCGGAGTAGGGTAACCGAAAAAGATGCTCCAGTAGCATGTGAGGTAATCTCCATTGCCGTAGTATGCGAGTAAACCAGAATAATTGGTTCACTGTCAAAGGAATTAGGAAACGCGGTCAGTAAGACGAGTGCCAGAAATGTAACTGTCAGAGTTGGTAGTGCGATCATCATAGAACTGTCATGCCGCTATCATCTAGAACTTGCGCTCATTCTCGTGCGTATTTCAATTGTTTTTTTTTTAATAAACAGTTTTTCTCTGCGCGTTTACGTAATTCGAATCGAATTCATTTGTATTTACACAAATTGAAGAAAAATCGCTAAAATATATCGATGCGTTGTCTTGTATTTTGCCCTGAAATATTGAACTGAAAGCTAACAGAAGGCAGCCGGTAGCAGGGCCAAATTTCGTGAGTGGAGCCGCACACCGGCAGGTCAGAGCAGGCAACCTGAACGCAGATCTGAGGTTGGTTGGCTTAGTAACCTTAGTTTCTTCGAGCATCTGAAATACCAGCAGGCGCTGCAGCTGATATGTAAATTTGAAACCATAAAATGTGCCTCGGATACAGAGTTGAAGACCATTTTAATGCATGTGAAATAATTTAAGTTTTGACTATAAAATTGTATGAAAAAATTGTTTAGCACTCATTAATATGTTTAAATTTTGGAAAAACGAATGGAAGCTCTAGTCTAAATGGTATTTTAACGGGTATGAAAATGGCGCAAGAAATGATGATACACATGTAAAACTAAAATTATAATAATCTACTCCATTGAGATCCAACGAAGTTGAAAATTTCTATACCGAGCTTAACGTTTTCCCGGGCCATCAGTTGCCGCTCTGTCTGCTGACTCACACTGGAATTTGGAAACAATCAATGACCAGTCGCAGCGGTGGTCGAATGGCGGAGAACTATCGACTGAAGATGCAGTAGTCGAGTGCAACGAACAACGAAAATGCGGAGATCATAGAACCATATATATCAAGAAGATGTCAAATGTTAATTATACTAGTGACTTCAAGATCTGTAAGAATCTAATTTATAGTGTATGTATTTTAGAGGAAAATCACGGAATTACAGTAAATACATACTCATTTTTTACAGCTTATATAGGTATAGATATACAGATTCCTGTCAGTCCACATCGAAGGCGAATGATTTCTTTGAAGAAAATATCCACCAAGTGAGTGAGAAACGTGTTGCAGTTAGAGATAACAATATCAATACGTCATAGGCGGCGCTCCAGGCAGTGTAGAAAACCACGTGGTATCACCATCACCGTCGTCACGACTCACGGAGCACAACACAGTGAGACTAGCCATGGTGGTGACGAAATGTGTGTCCATTGCCCTGCTGTTTTTAATTCTTAAGATACACATTTACCGTCAGTGAATTGTAGTCGTTTTGAACAAGAAATACGTGGTTTATTGATTGTGTGTTTATTTTGACTTATCTGTGTGTCGTGTGTACTATACACCTGATTAGTACGAGATGAAACTAAATAGGGACAGAGCATAGCCTCGGACTGCATTACTGGGGGACGAGCGAAGCCGGAATGCATGGCTGAGGCTGAAAATTAAACAGTAAGACGTTCGAGGAGAAACTATAGTTACTGGACCAACGGTAGAGATAATTGGACTGTGTCAAGATTAAATCATGCTCATTTATTCCTAATATTTTTAGTTTAGACAGTGTTGAAGTTAATTTTTACTTAAAGATATACTCTGCAAGAAAGGTATTTCTGATTAATTAATTTATGATTGCTCGTCTAGGACAAGAGGAACTTTGTACTCAAAAATGTATGAACTTTAGCAGGTTTCCATGTTGATGTCCATACAAACAGTCATGTTCGAATTCACTGCGTTTCTGAGGCAGTTGGCGCCGTTTAACCGCCTCGTGTAACTAGGGCTAGAGCAATTCTGTTGCGCATTGTTCAGTAGGAACGGTACATGAAAACGTCAGAAAGAAGCAGGAAGCCGCCTCTGTCGGTGATCAAAACGATATATGAATGTATCAATAGTTCTATCGGTTTCTCGCAACTCTCTCTCAACTAGCTACCCACGGAAATCGCATTGGCTTGCGAATATTATGGGAATTAGCCATAAAATCGAACTCTTGCAGAAAGTCCAATAAATGTTAGTTCTCACTTCTCCTGCATTGTGTTGGTGCATTAGCCTGATTAGGAACTTAAATTTAGTCATAATCTTTATATCGACTGACTCCCCGGGTAAAAGATAGCTTTAATTCTATTATGCTTGCGTACCTCCCGTCTTTACGATCATATTTCGAGTAATTACGAGTCTGAAGACTGAAGAGTCCGAACGGCATTCAAGAGGACATAGGGCTTTAGTCTTTAGAACGAAGCGAACATGGAAGCTGGCCAATCCGGAACATCCGTTGGTTTCCATCGCCGCAGCCTTGAACTTTTTTCCAATCGGGCTCGCCAAGCTCCCGCGTTTCCAAGTAATCCGCGTTGCTCCGCCGCCATCTTTGTAGACCATTCTTTCGTTCTTGCTCGTTTCAGTCGGTTGGATGTTTTGGTGAATGGTGACAATGGAGAAAGAAAGAGCCAAGCAGAAAGGATTAAGCTATTGTGAAAAACTACTTCCTTCAGCTAGAGACCGTTATTTAAGAAAATTGCTAGACATTAACGATGTTGATCCATATGAAGTGCCGGCAAAGCAGTGGTGTAAAGATTTTGCAAGCCTGCCCCCCATTTCACACGGTGATTTACTGAACTATTTCGTGTTTGGCGTCAGCCAATACACCTAGCAAGAATTTAAGGCATTCAAGACGCTTGAATCTTACAAACAATTTGTGGATGGATGGGTGCAGGAGATATACACCCACAAACTTGCCAACTGTAACAACACTGTCATTGCTGCCAAGGTGAGGATAATGGATCACGAGTGAGTCGGAGTGAAGGGTGGAATCATAATCATTAGAATTTTCAAATTCTACATAGCCTAGTGACAAACCAGAGATATTCTAGAAGCAGTTCATTTTTAATTTCCTTATTTACTGAAGATTTAATCCATGAAACCAATATCTTAGGCAGCAGTTAGGCTATGTGTGAAGTGTGATGCCGTCAAACAGCCTGAACAGGCAACAGCCAACAGGGTTACGGATACCTAAGGCTAATAAGGGACGGTTTTGACTTTTGAGCATTTTTTGTTAATAAGTTCCTACCATGAAACATGGTAACGTCGAGAACTAAGCTGCCTTGTCCTTCCTTCACGGCTGGTAAACTAAAGAAACTCATTCCATTGTCAAGTTTTCTGTTCAAATGGTCGTGAGAACGACTTGTACATCCAATAACGGCGCAGTAGCGTCCCATCTTCAAGCAAAAATTTCAAATGGAGACTTAGATTGAACACCGTAGCGAAAGCTAGCTCGGTCTACAAACATGGCCGTCGATCCCACAATGCATCTGGCGATTCGGAGCCGTGACGTCATCCTTGCGAGCCCGATTGTATAATACAGTTTGCAAATCTTAAGAACTAATCACTTCTCTAATTTATAAATTACTGACTGGTGTGATATAATTGATATCGAATAATGCGCGAGCTCTAAGGAGAAATTGACATTGTGCTCGCTCGAAAATACCTAAGTTGAGATGTTTACGGTGTAGAGTTTTGCTTCGCTGCATTGCTCAATGTTTTTGGCCTTTGGGCGTTTGAAATTATTATGTTGTTGTACACTAGATATTATTTTCTGAGGATTCCGCTTAAACTATTGACATCTAGCATTGCAGTTAAATCGTTTATGTATTATCTGACAGCTATTTTAGACTAAAATATTCACAGCTTCCCCCAGTATTCTCTCTCGTCATTTAATTCCAAGAGACATGAATCTCAACCGGAGGAAAACATTTGTTGGTGTTTATTTCAACAAGAATGATTGGGAAATCGTTCCCAGAATTTGGCTGCGGCAAGAAAATTCACGACTCCTGACATACTGGCCGGATGAAGGTGACGTTGTGACGCAAGCTAAGGCTTGCGCGCCGGTGCAGCGAAGCTGGCAGCTTTACCCGGTCCAGCAGATTGTGGAGGCTTCAGGTATAATATTTAAGTTTACCCAAAAATTTCTCTTACATTATAAAATCGTGGATCATTTCGTCGTTTTATCCTGATTCATTAGTTTTGAAGAAGTGTAGACTGATTGCAAGGAAGATATTGCTGGACAGGAAGAAGTGAGTGCCGAATGTTGTATTTTCTTTACCTAGTCGAAATGTTATTAGGAACGCTACATAGTTTTACGATTTTCTTTAGGAGACTACTACCGGGCTGAGCGTAAGATGTGCTTACGGCACATCACTCAGAAAGAGGCTCACGAGAAAGACTTCTCAGCCCGTCGTGTTAAAAACGGTAATATCTCCACCTCTAACCCACTCAACTATTTACCTACTTGGATCGTATTCGAATTTCAGTAAATCTACTTTCTGTACTACCAAGCAATATCTTAGAATTGAATTTCGTGGCATTACAGCGCCTCTTGATGTCATGCATGAACCTGCTTATTTACTCATATTTCTTTTTTGAATGCGCAAATCAAAATATTATTTTAATTTAATACATTTTTGTTCGCATTTATGCAGTTATTTACTAGATATCCTGGCATATATTCATCAAATTTCTATGGAAAAACTTAATGTGTAATGATTATTGAATTGAATTTTTTTACAATTGTAGTACCTGGGTCGTAAAATTGCTTCAAATTATCCTAAAACTTATTCATCATTTGAGCTGAAATTAAATTCAGTGGAACTCAGCCATTCGCCAGTAAAGCACTCTAGTAGTACGAATGATTGAAATATGCCGGTTAAGTGGTCAGGGCAAATTTTAATTTAACAACTTTACTTAGAATTCCCTTTTTTCTCCGCGCAGAGTTCAGTATTGTATCAAGTTGTGGAGACGACAGTTCAAGTACCGAAATACCACCTTCATTAGCCTCGAAAAATTTTTCTGGTATAAAAATAGGTTAGTATGAGTGGTATGTTCGTTGCTTTGAGAAAGATAACATCAACACTTTTTATTTTTAACATCGTTTCTATAGTCTTTGCAAATTTTTATTAGTACGAAGAGATGGTGAATGTTTTGTGATATATTCTTGTTATTGTGAAGTTTTGACGACTCCAATCATATTACCAATGCATGCATTTAATAATGTTTTTTTTAGTTATGATGCTATTGTTAACGCTCATGTCGATTTGATTTAAACCAATTATATTGGAATATTTTTTGGTTCTCACTCCGCACTGAGTATGTTATAATCAAAACTATCATTTGCAGCGCATGATGACGTGAACGCTAGACCTGGCCTGCAAGTTGAACTTCCGAGAAGTGATTGTTCGCCCACAAGACCAAAAGAAAGGCTGATTGGTAAGGAGAAGATTTGGATGAATTAGTAGTATACAGAGGTGGGCAGTAGCGCGCTACATTTTCAGTAGCGGTAGCGGTGGTGGCGCTACATTTAAGCAATTGTAGCGGTAGCGGTATCGCCCGCTACGTATTTAAGTAGCGATACGATGTTTTGCCGCTACAGAGCTACCGCTACATTTATAGATAATGCCTTTAGATTTTACTTTATAATATTAAATATTATTTAAAAACCAGCATGATAAATATATAATATAAATTACAGAATAAAACTGTGCGAAAGATTTCAGTGTAATGTTGTTAACCTTAGCCTGTTACTTATGTCAACATGTTAGTTGTTAGTCCAGAGGTGGGCAGTAGCGCGCTACATTTTCAGTAGCGGTAGCGGCGCTACATTTAAGCAATTGTAGCGGTAGCGACGCTACATTTAAGCAATTGTAGCGGTAGCGCCCGTTACATTTAGAGCATGTAGCGGTAGCGCTCGCTACATTTCAAAGTAGCGCTGCCCAGCCCTGGTAGTATATACTTGTATGATCTAAAGTTCTCGCTCGACGCAACTTTCATTTCACTGCACCTGTGCTCAGCAATGATCAAACTCGTTTTGGTTGCATACATTGATTTTGTGTGATTGATCATTTGACCAAAATTCATTTTCATATCGATAAAACGTCCGACATATAAATTTTCTCCTATTTCTACATGTAGTTTTGTATAATATTGTTCGTCGTTAAAAGCTGCCCACAAAGTGAGCTAGTAATCAGCGTGTTTCCGATGGGATGGAATATGACGGATAACTCGTCCTCTGTCCCCAGGGGAGGAAGAAATGCCCTCCAGTAGCCGATCACCTGCTCCGGTGATGTCGCCATTTTCCCGTGAGTATGCCATTTTTTTGGTGAATTTTGCTGATTTCAAAGATGAATCCTTTAAATAATGGTAATATAGTGATAAAATTTTGTATTTTTTTAAGTTTAATTACGCGAGTACACTCATAAATTCCCTTTTACTCGTTTTATAACGAGTAAACTGGGGGAATCGAATTGTTGAAAGTTAAACTTCTGCCGACTGACGTTTTCTATGTGTCTATCGTACGAACTAATTAAGGATGCATGCATGGAATAACAGATTCAACAGATATCGAGGGAAACTGATTGTAGTCATGTCAAATAGTTAGGACATTTATACGTCCATAGCGCAGCCAACTGCATCCAACCAATACGCACTGATATTTTAATCCTTAAATATCTACTACGGTATATTAGTTAGAATGTTTAATCTTGCTCGCAATTTTGCGTTTCAATATTTTCCTGATCATTATAAATTCATTTCAGTTTAGGCTGTATTGACAAAATTCTCCGTGAAATATTACAATTCTGATTGAATAACTATTCATCACTGTTTGCATTTTTTCCCCGGACAACACAAGAGCAGCCGTCGAAAATGATTCCGCGGCTCAAACTTCAGGTCCAGAAATGAGCCGCACAATTTTACAGCGCCTCGACGTCCTGGAATCTAACCAGAAAATCATCAGAAGAAACTTGGAAAGAATTATCAGCATCACAGCAAGCACTAATTTGCTGGTGAAGAATCCTTTGGTGCATAATAACATCGGAGGCCTGCATTCGTCCGTGCGATCATTCGATCCAGCCTCGACGCTTGATGAGCTAGACCAGCTATTAGAAGCGCATAATATTGTGAGTAATTCATTCACAATTTGCACTAATTATTATATAAGTTCATTAGCTCTACTCAGTACTTGGGCAATTCTGCGTGCTATTACCAACTATTTACGTGTCACCTTGTAGCAATCTAACCTCACAGTGAAACCTTATTTTCGCATTAGTGCATAGGTATTGTCTAATCGTTAAATCAAATATTTTTTTTCGTCGTTTCAGATTGAAAGACTTCGAGGAGAAGAATTTTCGACATCGACTGCAACCTTGAAGGCCATGATAAGAAAGCTTGTGGCTCGCTCGCTTCTTACGAAATTCAGTATTTCGGAACATGATCCTCTACTGCCGAATTCAAAGATATGCATGAGAAGCCATAAGATATACGATGTACTCTTTGGTAAGTGTTATCTACTAGAACAATGGAAATATAGAATCCTCCCATTTATGCTCACTGTTAAACTAAAGTAAATTGACTGCAATGTCTATGGAAATATTGTGTTATTGCACAGAACCAAATTACCTATGGAATATATATGGAGACCAGTAGAAAAATATATATCTAGCGAAATAATTTTTAATATAAAAATAGTATAATTTTTTTCCACAGAGGCTCTGGAGCGAACAATCCATCGTGGAATTTCTCGTAGTAATTTCGACAGCGATTTGCAGACAATTTTATGTCATGCATGTAATCGGAGCAGCAACCACAAGAGTCGAAGGGAGAAGTTAGTTAACACCCAAAGACGCACTTCTTCAGCATCCGAGGCTTGATAATTTTACGGTGTCATAATTACCAGTACTTCAGTACTTGAATAATTATTTGTGAATTAATGGTTGGTCAAAAATGTTGCTGGAAAAATTATTGAACAGAGTTGAAAGCTAAACCGCGCAGAACCAACTGCTTTTTGCTAATTATGTGATCTATTCTATAACGTAGTAACATTTTTTGCTTCTGATCCGCGATTGATCGGGCCATTGAGCGCCAGATGCGTAATTTATCAGAGTAGTTTCGTTGACTGAATTGGAAACTACGCCACTGACACAGAAGAGAAGCAAAATGTTGACAATTGAGTAGTAATTATACGAATATGGAGTACATGTAAAAAATGAACGGATATTACAGGAACTTTACGAGTATCACCCGAAGCAACACATTTGAGCAGAAAGGCATGTCAGTGCCGATAAGTGTAGTGCTTTAACTCGAGTCTCAATTACGCGGAATAGATTTAATTTTACACTTTACGTTGAATATTGGCTTGAAATTAATTTTAGTATTTTTATCCTGTGTTTTAAGTTAGACTGAAATTTAAATCCCTGCATGTACTGCACTGATGACTTCCTGAAAAATACCAGTTTCCATATTGATGAGGCTATCGCACTAACTTCTCCAAGGCCAGAACATGGCGCTGCATTGCTCGCGTCATGAGTGAGATGTTTGCTCGGAAGTTGAGCCGCTACTGTGAAACTTCTTGTCAATTCTCATCAAGGTATATATATCACGTCGGCTCTTTACCCAATTTTTTTACCATTACGCGACTTGATGCCGCCTTGTCAGTTTTTCTGAGTGAAGCTTGGCGCGCTTTGAGCTGCTTGCCGAGCAAAGCGGTTAATATAGATAATGCCATCGTTGAAATAATTAGGTATTCAGCTTTCAAACTAACGAGTATTCCTGCCCTGAAAAATTCCAATCTAAACTATTAATACTGAATTAGGTGTAGAAATACTCACCAGGCACGAGGCAGTCAGCGACGGCAAGAACCTGCCTGCAGAGGGCTTCTTTCCTCAGCAGCTGCATTGGAGCAAGCGATGCCAGCTCGTAGCCTTCCTCCGAGCCGTACAAGTGGATCAATGCGTACTTAATCTGATCATAAAAAACACCAAAAGTGTTACGGATTATGGGAGTTCAGTTAAGGTTCTTAGCTAATTTTCCTCACTAATACAAAAATGCGTCACTTTTATGTATTGCAGTATTGCTCATGATAAGGTCACACATGAATTCACATCTAAATCAATATTGAACAAAGCATCGACATTCAAACCAAACTTTTACTTTGAGTAACAATAAAAATTAAACTTTTGCAATACATTTAGTATACGGTCTTACATTTAGTAAGCATGCGTGATTCGTGTAGAAAGTTGGAGCCCATTTTTCAAGAAACTGCTCGCAAGATCTAATGGTGGGATTAGTTGACTCAAGCTCTTCTGCTTCCTCCGTCATGACTGAGGTCATCCGAACTAAATAATCAGGATCAACGGGCGTGGAGCAAGTGATGCATTTCCAGTCAGAGGATGGAGACAGTGGATCTGTGGGGATGACCACTGAAGTAGGTGGAGCCAGTTTGCTTTTAGCAGCAGCAGCTGCAGCTGAGGTTTTCGTCGCTTTGCTGGTCTTAGGGCAGTTGGGACACATCAAAGCAGACGCATAAGTACCGAGTTCTGTAGGGTCGACACATCGGGGGCAGTGGCACGTAAAGAATTTGGAAGTAAGCAGATGTTCTTGTCTGACGGCTGTCGTGGCGAGCACCTCAGTATAACATGAGGTCAAGTGACTGCCTCTCCGGATGGGAACAGCGGCGCGGACCACGAGATTTAAGTCGGCATCGAAAGTTCTGTGTGTGTTCGGAATACACGAATGTTCCAACATCGAACCTTGAGAGTAAACTCCTTGGATTGAGGAATCTGGTAGACGAATTTCGAATGCATTTGTGTCAATAATGCCCAGCACTTTTTTTATGAGGTCTTCATCGTATCTGTCAATTTTGAGACGCTCTCTGATGATGTCTACAACGGTGCGTTGAGTAATTGCGGCGTTTTCCGTGCGTGACCTCCTTTCATCGTGGCTTTCAAGAGTCATCAAGCGTCTCCAGAGACTCGTCTGGTTGTCCCTCAAGCTCAGAAGTCTCAATGGCATTATGCATTCATACAGAGAGTTATTCTGTCCAAACAAGGAAACCTTCACAGGCATACCAGACTCGCTCACGGCTTCACACTCCGGCTCATGGGCTTCAGCCTGCTGACAATCTGCATCGCACATTGGGAAGCCACATTTTTTGCAGCGGTACTGACCATCCACGGGTCGGTAGCAAGCCAGACAAACCGGCTCTGTGATCTGCTTTGGTCCGATCAAAAGAGGGCTGTCTGAAAGAAGCAGTTCTCCTGGTGCAATGTCTCGCGTTGCCAAAAAGTACCGCCCGAGCTCGGGACACTTGTTGATCTTCCAGGGCTTGCAATCCCTCTGATGTTTGCCCCATGCTGCCACCTGGTGAGCTTTTGAGCAGTACCAAACCTGCCGGTAGAACGAGCGTTTTTGCGTCCGTCTATTCATGAATGAAACAATCGAAATTGAAAGTAAAAAGATTTAAATTCGAGTAGCTAAGTTACACATTTTGAACTTAACGCAACTAAAGTCTCTCCAAAACAATGAACTCAAGAAGAGAATCCCAACAAGGGCTTTAAATTGATAATAATAGCCATATTTTTAATATCTAGCCTTATTTTTAATATCTAGCCTAGCTACTGCCAACCTGCCAACAGCCGCCGCAGGCCCGGGCGGACTTAGAGGTGTTGCCGCACTCCTTGCAGGACACGGAGGGCGCTTCTTCAGCGACTTCACCGCTACAGTCGCCATTTGCCGTCGGCAGTGACGTTGCTTTCATCATGTCTTGGAGGGAGATGCCGTCGGGCATTTTGGCTCCTACACTTGTGCCTGGCATGCTATAGAGAAAGAAAATCGTTTCCAATATTATTATTGTTTGACATTGTCTGAAAATATTATTTCAACCCTTCGAACGAAGATTTTAAATTTAATCTCATATAAATTAAAATTCGAATTTGACTTGAATATTATTTCATGAAAACATTATTCGAGTTCATTTTCTACGTCGAGAGCCACAAAGATATATCGGGCATCACTTCTGTCAAGATTTTTGAAGTGTATTATCTTACTCATTTGCTGTCCAATGTGCTTATTAAAATATTTACTATTTTTTCGCTCTTTAGAAAGTTTTGGAAGCTTCTTTTGCAAATTAACCTAAGGGTAGGCACACAGTGAAAGCAGGTTGCCAGCGTGCTGGTTACCTGCTCAGGCTGGTGCCTGAAACCATAGAATACAGAAGCCTATCCGTACAGGTTTTCACTATGAACACTTACATTATTATCCTATGTTCATTCTTGTGGCAGGTTGGAGCAGGTTCCCCGCGCGGGCAAACCTTTTTTCACTGTGTGCGTACCCTAACGCACAATAGACGTGAATTTAAACGGCCCTTTAATATCATTTGAATCTATCCTAAATGAAACATTACTTTAATTTATGCTTTAAACTTACCTGTTAATATATGATCTCCGATGACTCCTAAAATTGTTATTATGCAATTCTGAAAAAGTTTTTATTTTCGTTAATTTCACGGGAAATTAAAACCGTTCATAGGGATAATTTTATTGTGTTCAAGCGCAAAATTCTTCTATCAATATTCTTCTATTGTCATCAAGCGCAAAAATTCATATCTGACTGTTCTATTTATCCTGATTTTTTATGCTCACGATTTCGTTTTTGCACGAAAACGATTTCGTTTTCGTGCAAAATTCTTGCAAATTTATTCAGGTGTATTTTGTTTGATCTCATAGCAGGTACTAATATTAATTAAAAAAAAATTTAATATGTTCTGCGTCCATTCCCATTACATAATGACGATATATTAAACGCCTCTAGAGGCAACAAATCTGTAGTAAATCACTATGTATATACGTCATTGCTAATGCCAAATTCCTATCGGAATCTACTTGATTTTGAGTGATATTTATCCATTAAATTTCCAGTAAGAATCACATGAAGTAAAGTGAGCTGCACTTTTTGTTACGATCAGACTAAGCAAGCTGTTTCAGATTTTTTGTAAAAAATATCCATGTTTTTTATGCGACTGGAGCGATTAACCTTTTTAAATACCTTTTGTATACAAGAATAAGCTTGTCATGAATCGCTAAATACTTCTTTTACGGAGAACATTATTTGGCTAATGTTCATGAATGTTGCCCACGTTTCACTTGTCTCAAGTGGTAACTCATTTCGTTAGCCGTCGAAATATAGGTAGTCGTTTAAAATTAATCACGACTGCATGAGCATTATGATTGGTTCACAGTTCAACTTGTCCAAGAACTTTACACAATAACTCGTCAGCCTAGCTTGGGTCACCACAATGGATTTCTTCTTCGAACCAACGTGAAATTTTCGCTACTCATTTTCATTAGGTAATTCATTACGAGAATTGTTTTAAATTTTTTCCATAACCATGGTAACAGTGTAATGAACGATTAGCTCTGGCCATAAGAGGGATGGACTACAATTGGTCGCTGTTATCAAGCCGCCACCGCGGGCTGCTCCGACAACTCCCCTCGTGCAGCTACGACCAAGTCTCGACTGTCGCGGGCTACCCTCACCCGCGCACGTATAGGCGCTCACCGCCTCGTGTCTTGCACCGATGCCAAACAAAGCGCCTATTTCTGGTATCCACGATACTCTCACGAGTCCTTTCTTTGCTTGACGTTTAAAACCATCATTTAAATGGAGATCGACCCGCTCATTTTTTTACCTTCCCAACACAAATCAAGTCGCACACACTCAATTACGCTTAACGCTCCATCATCGTAATCCGGCATCGATTTGAAGGAGTCATTGTAGCTATTATAGCTATCATTTACTAGTCGCTTCTTAATTCCTGATGGCAGGTCATATTTAGAGCTAACTGAATTTAAATATATAAAAATTACCGGCATTGATTTATTTTTGAAATCACCTGACCGCGTCTAGTGACAAGCAGCCAACATTGTCCTACTGGCCTCAATATCGCGACGTGTCGAGGACAAATGTAAATGAAACTCTTCCGACAACGCAGCCTGAAGGACACAAGATTATAGGCAAATTAATTTTTACAGTTCAATTTCGTGAATTATCGCTTGCATTTTTATTATTTATAAAGGAACAAACTTAGTTTCGAGATTTTGACGTCACTTAATTGGAACTGATGTGACCAATAACCTGAGACGCCAAAATGTCGCAGCGTGGTTAACTCGGCCGGACAAATTACTATTACATAATTTATTCTTCTAAAAAATGAGCAATAAGAGTAGCAAGATACCTTGCCAACATTGTTAAAGACCGCGAACCCTTAACTCGAGTGACAAAAGGGTTTATTTAAAGAAGCGAGCTCGATACCTGTCAAGTAAAGTTAGATATTTGTCTCATAGAACTATCTTTTACAGCTCATCCAGAATCCACTTGAGTTTGAGGCAAGTAATCTCGACTTCTAGTCACGTCCACTCAAGTAGAAGTTAGTGCAGAGCTACAGAGAGCAGCGGTGCGCTGTCAGCGCGCTTGTTTGTGACAATCAGCAAGCTATTCTTGACCTGAGACTAAGTACGCAGCACGAAACCTCCTGTGGATGATTTCTACTTGCTGTGCTAGCATCTGACGCACGAAAATTCGTAATACATTACAGTGCCGGAAATGGCTATACGACCACGCAGTTTTCTACAAATATTTGTTCTTGCACAAAAAATATGATATTCTAATTACACGAGGTTAAACTACGTTAAAAAAAACGGTTCCAACGCTATGCGATAAAAATAATTTTCTTAAAATATATGAAAAAAAATTATGAAAATTAGAAAAACCTAGGTGGAAATGGTTATAAGACCAAGATACGTTTTTCCGTTTGTGGATCACATACACTCATTTTAATAGGCAATCTCATCTCCTTTCGCCATAATTACCTCAATGCATCTTCTCCCCACGCTATTTACCGTATAATCCAGTGTCTTTTGAGAAATTTTATGCCAAGAACGAAGGATAGCCGTGCTCAGGTCACTCACAGATTGAAACTGGCGCTCATTTTGGTAAACATCCCTCGCCATGATGCCCCATAAGTTTTCAATGGGGTTGAGGTCAGGACTAAGAGCCGACCGCGGCAACAGAGTAATATTCTGCTCTAGGAACCACATGTTTGCTGATTTTGGGGTGTGAATCGAAGCATTGTCTTGTTGGAAAACATATGATCCCTCATGTTTCTCATCGGCAAAAGGGAGAAGGTTGGTAAAACAGCGTGTGCTTGTAAGCCTCGGAATCTTGTCTCCCATGTAAAATAGCTAGAGTTGATTTTTCCTTTCAGCTAAACGCCCTAAAAAACCATGACAGAACGAACACCAGATTGCCGCTTGAAAAAAAATTTAGGCTCACGGCCAGTGGTGCCAATAGCATTGCCATCCATCTGGATCATAAAGATTGAACTTTTTCATCACTGAAGGTAATCATGTGCCATCCCTTACCAATAAGCAAATATTTTTCAGCAAATTTTTGTCGGTTGATAATATGCTTTTGTTGGAGCACAGGGGCATTTTTTCTTCGTCATGTATTTGAACTTTTTCGTGTCATGCAATGACTAACGGGTGCGTCGTGCTGTCACATCAACTCCAGTGGCCAATTTTATAGAAGAAGTAGAGGTAGCGCAAGTTTTAGAACCTCAGAAAACAGTCTCCTAAGATCCCTGTCGGTTAATTTTGGGGTTGGTCCAGTGTGCTTTTTTCACCCGTAGCCGCCCGGATTAGCAAAAAAATTATTGTGCAATGGGTTTTGAGAGTTTTATTCCCATTGCGATGTCCCGTTGGCTTCTACTGCATTTCACAAAGCCGAAAACTGCGTCTTCTCGGCCTCAGTGAGTCTTGTCCCATTAGGCATATTTTTTACTTCGAAAAAATATAAATGAGGACACTGAACTACACCAGAAGTACACCAGAAAGGCCCTAGATGACGAAAATCAATATATTCTTTATATTGCTGTACTTTTTATAGTGAAAATGCTACAGAAAGATACCAAAATGGAGAAAAACCTATCCTGGTCTTATAACCATTTCCACCTAGGTTTTTCTAATTTTCATAATTTCTTCTCATATATTTTGAGAAAATTATATTTTTTTTCGCATAGCGTTGGAACCGTTTTTAAACGTAGTTTAACCTCGTATAATTAGAATCCCATAATTTTTTGTGCAAGGAAAAATATTTGGAGAAAACTGGGTGGTCGTATAGCCATTTCCGGCACTGTAGAAGAATATATAGCTATTCTTGACCTGAGACGTAGCACGAAACCTCCTATGGAGGACATTTCTACTTGCTGTACGTGCTAGTATCTGACGCATGAAAAGCCGCAAAAGAACAGCGAGGTTTTTACTTTTACCTAATATTCTAGTGCTTCATGCTCGCAACGAAAGAAAAGACTGGTAAGTGTTCGAACGGAATATACATACTCTTACTACAACGATACAATCTCTGCTTTTTCCGTTCATCAAGCATATTACGTACAATAAATAGTTTTCGTTCAAATATTTAACTTGTGCCCGCTGGTGTGATAAAATTTCAAAAATTTGAAGTGTATCGCCTAAACCATTCGTGCTCGAACATCATGACAGGTTGACAGGAAGCTTACGGTATATTCATTTGGATGAAATTAAACTCTGTCAAACGCACGCACAGAAATTTTATTGCTTTGAATAAAAAAAATTGCAAATACTCTGTTCTGCATTCAACTCAAAGCATCAGCTTAATTTATTACAGCCTAAATAATGACATTAAAAAGTAATGGAATCGAGAAAGCTTTCTAAGTTTCACTACGTGACGCACATTTTCGGAAGAATATTTTAAGTCGAAGACGTTTTGACAGATTTCCGGTCCGGACAAGTGCAAACTTTTTCACTTAAAAAAGGCAAGTATAAACTCTGAGCTTATATTTAAGTGAAATTAAAATCTGTTCTTTATTATTAGATTTCAATTAAAATGTGATGCTATAGAAAACAGAAGTAAAATAGACGGGTAAAGCATCACTGTGAACTTCAAAAAATGTGAAAACCGATTTACATAAGCCGGGAATTACTGTTGAGGTTAATCTTCCTGAAATTTAACTCTGGAAAATATTCACAATTACTCACCAAATTCAACAAAAATTCGCAACAATTCAAGACTTAATGAGGTCTAACTTATTAAGGAGTTAGAGGTTAACATTAAGTCATTAACTTAATTGTTCATGAGGAACCATCACAAGGGGAATGAAGCCTCAGAGGTGACGCCGCACATGTTATTTGCGTTTCTCGCCAGTCGGTAGTAGCCGCCCTCGCCCCATTCTTCTCCCCACGAGTTCTTGATCAGCCAAAAATCCTCTCCCTCGTCGGTGGTGCCGTAGCCCACCACCAGCACCCCGTGGTTCAGGAACTCTTTGGTGCAGTTCTCATTCTTGTAAACGCCTACACGGTTGATTTTTGTTGGGTGAGGTTTGTTTGTTTGTCGTTTGTTAGATACTATGTGGCTTAGCGATAATAACCTAGGTCATACATTTACAGGCGTAGTTCTGTATCCAAAGTTGCATACAATAGTGAAAGGTTTAACGATACAATTTTCAATTTTGATTGAATATCCGAGTAATATCGACGAACACATCCACCTAATTGTAAAACCAGAGAAGTTATATTCCTCACAATGTAATAAATTTAGTATACATTAATTTTCAGGTATAACATCCTCGTTAATGCATTTGTAACTAAAACTTTTCCATACCTCATTTACAAAAATATATCCTTCTTACAAGTTTCAACCGTCGTCTCATCCTTTATCGACCTCCCGATAGCATCTGCCGCTGCTTAGCGAGCGTCACTATATACCCTCGCTGCTCACCGTCACTACCCTCGCTGCTCACCGCCACTACCCTCGCTGCTCACCGTCACTACCGTCGCTGCTCACCGTCACTACCCTCGCTGCTCACCGTCACTACCCTCGCTGCTCACCGTCACTACCCTCGCTGCTCACCGTCACTACCCTCGCTGCTCACCGTCACTACCCTCGCTGCTCACCGTCACTATAGAACTGGAAGTCCGCGTGCGTGGCGTCGACGCCGGCAGCGACGGGGCCGTTGAAGGCGACGGCGCGCTGCAGTGCCGCCTCGTCGCCGTCAGGCAGGTCCTCGAAGCCCGCGTCGGTCGCGGCGCGGTACTCGGGACGGTAGCGACACTCGCCCTTCTGCGGTCAAAACGGCAAGTAAAGGCGCCGATTGCTTATGATTTTCTAAATAATTAATCGTGTTGTCACTCGTTTGCTTATTTCAGGGTAGGTGCGTTTGGTGCTCTAGCTCGACGAATAACCAAGTACTACGTACTGTACTATCTAGCACATCCCTGTTTGGAAGTCTTTTCTGGAACAGGAATGCGAAAAAATTACCAAATATTTAAGGTGTTGCGCTCTAAGGATGTCTCAAAGAAGGTGGCACTGACCTGACCTTCATATGGGTAGCTTTCCTCCGTGTCGATGCCCCCGTTGTTCTTGATATACACGAAGGCATCGTCCATCACTCCGCCGTTGCAGCCTCGCACGTTGGGCGTGTTGACGCAGTCGAGGAGGTTCTGCTCAGACAAACTCACCAGCTCTCCTGTCTGGATGAAGTGCAGTCCTTCCACTGCTCCGGTCTTTTGACAATATCAAAAATGTTAGCAACAAGCAATTTCAAAGGTATTTTCCATGACAAATTTGATGAACTTTTATGTTTTAAAACAAAACTTTGTTGCGTAATATCACCAATAATTTACTTTCTTCAAAATCTGGGCAATAATACTTTTGACTGCAAAACTAAGTTCATTCATTCTTATTTATTTGGTAATAACAATTTATGGAGATTAGGAATGTGATCAATCAGAAGCCTATCTGTTATTGAAGTAGGAAATGTATCGCATTACTTCGTTCCTGCTGGCAATAACCAACTTTAAGTAATCAAGTTGAAAGAGACAATTCCCGCAAATCTGGAAAAATGACCGTGAAAAATGACCCCAATCTGGAAAAATGACCGTGAAAAATTACCCCAATCTGGAAAAATGACCGTGAAAAATTACCCCAATCTGGAAAAATGACCGTGAAAAATTACCCCAATCTGGAAAAATGACCGTGAAAAAGTTCATCATGCAAATGCAAGAATATTGTACGACTTACTGACCGTGGCAAAGGCCCAGCAGGAGCCACAGGCACCTTGCCTTTTGACCTCCGTTACACCGCCGCGCTGCCTCCAGTCTACTGACTCAGGAGGAGCATAGCTCGGTGACGCTTCCAGCACCCGCGTCCTGTTGATGCTTGCACCGCCTCTCGTACTGTTGTCGTAATTGTTGCTTCCATTGATGATTAGGTGGTTGCCATCAGTATGGTTGCTGTTATTGTTTGTTCGGTTTGTCCTGAATATAAGAATTACATATCGCATTGTTCTAATTATACAATTATAACTTTGGTAACATGGATACCAAATAAAACTTGAAATTATACTCTTTCATGTGGTTTTTATTTCATCTTTCTACGTTTAATACTTTTCGAGTTATAAGCCTTTCTTTTAGCAACTTTTTTGGGTCACCCTGTATGAATATTGCAATTACCTATCGCATTGTTCCCCAAAAATTCGTCAACGAAAGCTGAATGAGTGGGAGGATTGAAAGAAAATTAGGATCATTTAGGACGTTTTAAAATTCTGTTCTGTCTAAGAAGCCTTTTAAAATAAATCAGAATTAATTATACTCTGGAAGTTGGTCACGAGAATTTCTTGGTTACGTTTACTATTTTGCCAACTGTCATATTTGGATCCTCTGAAAATCGGCGTTAAACCAATGCAGAAGGAGCGTCTACTTATGAATAAACAGTATCGACCAGTAAAAAATTACGTTATATATGCAAAAATCACGTAAAAAATGCTAACACACGTAAAATGTTAGATCCGAAACCACTCGTACAATAACAGTATAACGCAGCAGCGTACCGGCATTTTGCGTGAGAAAGAGCGGCTTTTGTAGCTCTAAATCAGGCGAGTCGTGTCGTCTTCTGTGTCGCAATTTTGTCAAAATTTGACTTCCAATTATTTGCAATACGAAGTCCATTGTACTCATTTTTTATTGTGAACTCACGCAGTTGTCGGTGCAGGAATGTCAGCCACTAATGACGTGATGAATTTATTCCTGGGACGTCGTCTGGTACCGGCCTGCGTGGCTAGGAACTCGCGGTGTAACTGGATTGGTGCGAACATCGAAATAAGGTTATTTATGAGACCGGAAACTGAGAATTATCGTGTCATTCACCTATCAAGTCCTCATAAAAAAGAATGCTTCAAATCATGATGACATCAGCATATATAGGAGGAAATCGAAGCTTACTTTGTTCAGCAGAAATCGCAGAAATTTTCTTCGTATTGATTTCAGGCATACGAAGTCTTCAGATTGTTTGAAGCCTAATTAAATGATACATGAAGATAGGAAAAAACCTAAATTTTTGTATATTATTCACCAAATCGCCGTAGGCATTCATGGCGAGGGTGTAGCTGAGGTCAGCTTGGTAGTAGCGCAGATTGTGCTCCGCAATTTTGACGACGTTGCGCATCCACACGCGACGTCTGAACGAATCTTCAGCGTCACTGCCGTACTCTTTCCCGTGCAGCTCCTGAAATGAATTTCCTAGGACATTGATAACGGTATCTAGAATAATTTAATCCAGTATTGAATATACAAGGACCAGAAAATACAAATTGTAAGTCTATGAACGGTTTCGATGATTATCAGCCTTGAAATGCATTAGGAGCACATGAAGTGAAAACCGGATATTTCGGTGTATAGAAATTCCTGCTTGTCACTGTGTTAATATTTTTGAATTAATTCTAATAACCCGTATAAAATAAGCAGGATCCAATCAACCAATCGCGTGGTGGCTGATTAGCAGCCGACTGTGGACGTTTGTTTGACTCGTGGTAACGTTTGAAAGAACTTAATTACTGACGCTGCCGCAAGGAGCAACAACCGAACATATATAATTTTGCAAGACAATCGACATACATCGATGAATATTCTAGCCAATTTCAGAATTCATCCCGTGCATTAAGGTTTATGCTGCTTCACATACGCTGAATGTGACGGAAGTAAGTGATTCGGGGAAATGTCTTCCAAATAAAGGGATATTCCAGTTCATGTAAAAAAGTTTTCAGCCATGTAACACAAGGCAAAACAAAAGTTACGAACCTTGAATTGGTTCCATTCTTCCATTAGGGAAGATTCAATTAAATTTCCAACTGTAATACTAAGAGTAAATAAAAGACCAAAAGCAACTACTAAACACTCGGTCATTTTCATGAACTACAACGACCTCCCTAAACACAAAATGGTAGCTTTGCTCCTAAATCATCGATCGCTGTCTTCACCGTTCACCCTTCGAGGTTTTCAGCACTTTGAAATAGATTATCAAAGTTAAAACTATAACAGCTAAGTTCAGTTAATGTCCGACATGACCGCCGACTCGTAAGAAGCCTTGACAATACGCACAGCAGAAACGGACTAAATTGCCTGCGTGCTTGTGAAATAAATTTTCCCCTACCGCTGAGACAGGGTAACTACATAAGGCCTGAAGTTGTTCAAATTTTTCCCCAATGTGAGCTCGGACAAAGTAATTACATACATTAAGTTTTGTGGTTCATCAAATTTTACCCTCCGCTGAGGCAAAACTAGGTACGGCCAGCAGTTAATAAAATTTTCCATTATATAGCTGAATTAGGGTAACCCCATAAGGAGAAAACATGTAGAGATTGAAAAGTAATTAAATTGAATATTATTATTTTTTAACCACGTGCATCCACCAATCGAACTACCAGATAGTGACATATTTTGGTAATCTCCATCAGTAGTTTGTACAATGTGCTGAACTAAATCTTATTTGTTGGAAATGGCTTTTCATAATCTTTTCACACTATGATAGAGACTCGCAAGATAATTGAGAACTGTTACTGATTATTAAGAAATACTCAGCAAATCTCTTTAGTTAAAATTTGAGTGGCCACAAAGTATCGGCTTTAAATCCGCATTTGATGCCCAATTACTGAGTAGGAAAACGAAGTTGCGTACAAAGTTCTCCGACATTTAATGACTTATTCCCTGGTCGTAATGGGTTCTCTTAAAATACTTTATATAGCTCCATGCTATCAGTATGGAGTGATATTCGAGTACTGCAAGGAAAACTTTTATCAATCAGTTATATCTTGCACAATTTACGGTTGTTGAAATTGTCTAGAATGTTTGTTGATCTTGATTGGAAAAAGTCACCTGACCACGTACGTCATCAGGTTTAAAGACGAAAATTATGATAGTGCTGAAATATCATTGAAAAATTTGTAATGGATATAGGAAGCCTAGGAAGAACTTCCCCGGAACTTAATGTAGCCAAGATAATCTGCATGGTTATGCTCAGGCTTTGGTACTCATGAAATTTTCATTGACATTCTTCACGAATTTCAGCGGAGCCTGCCCGCACACTGGAAGTCTGTGGAAGATTTTCGAACCTGCGACATGAGTAGACGTAGAATATACGTGTTCGCCGACACGTCTTTTGTTAATACAGGGCTACAGAATTCTTCATAGTGTTGCCAATTCTATATTTAGATAAGCTGTCAGAAAAGCCCCAATTATTCATTTTCATGTATCACGAAATTCATACGTGTGACCTTAGCTTCATTAGTCCTCGTGTGAACCGAGTTATGGCGCAGCCAGCTTCATGGGAGGGCTATCTCAATTATTTAATGATAAACTAAATATAATTGCTTGTTACTGATGATAACACTGATTTAAATTTAAGCCAAATTAATCATTTTTTGTCGAGCTAATTCAGGAATTGGTACGTCTGTGGTTTGATAGTGAAGGATTTACTACCTTACACCATACCTGGTCCCTCATATGTGCCATAATATCGTAATGTGTTACATAAATTAAATTTTTATGCATGAAGTCGATTTGTTAGGCTGATTTTACTGCCAGGAAACAAGGCCTTCTCTCAGCACCAGCACTGCGCAAATTTTCCGGCTCTGCCGGGCTGCTGGAGTCTTTCTCTACATCATCACAGGCGCTGCGCTGGTGAAGATATCCTCGCGCCCAGTCAATCACCAATGTGGGCAACGATGTCGATTAGTGTGGGTTACTGCATATCGCGGGTGATCCGACCACTCCAAGATTTAGAAGTCGAATTTCCTTGAATAATCTATGCAGATGCATGGCGAACTATCGACTGTGGGTTTATCGTTGCAGATCGAAGTATCTGAGTGTGGGCAACTTTACAGAGCAAACCGAAAAATTGATGCGAAAACATGTCGGTTGGCTATTCAATCTAATAGAATAATTGATCGGAAATTGATATGCACTTTAATTTATGATTACCCAGTTAAAATTTTATTCAAAATTGCGTTCAATCTAGTTCAATAGATAAAATGCGCTATGTCGGGTAGATTTCTGATGTCAGTTACGATTATTATACCAGGTAATTATTTTAATACTTTGAAATACGTAAGTGTTTTACTAGCTTTCAAAATTTGAACGCTTCCGCAAAGAGGAACGTTTAAGCCTTAATGTTACCTTGACCTTAATAATGTTCAGGAGATATAGATTAGTTTGCCTTAAAAATTTTTTTCTAACGCGAGTGTAAAGAAAACGTTTTTTACGTGCATGATATAAATCTCCTGCCATCGACTAACAGTCGTATAAATAAACTGCTTCAAAGCTTAACAATATTTTTATTTAAAAAGATCCCATCATAAACTTCTTCAAAGTTCATACTCAAAACATTTTCTTACAGCTGCTCTAGCGTGTTCCATTAATCATGACAAATTTGCATCAGTTTTTCAACGAGGCTGATTTGAGGGAATAAATAATTGAGAAATAAATTTCGATGTAAATTAATCAGCTCCAATACAAAATTTATATAAACTAGAGAACTTACTTGGAAATAAATGTAAGAAATATAGAAGTAACGGCATTTCGATTGCCCGAAAATAATAAAAAGTGGCAAGAGAAATAGTGCTTGTCTCCTTTACAATACGAGTAATATTATTTTATCGATTGAATAAAAACTGCGTTCATTCCTCTAAAATATATATAAATGAATAATCTTTAAACAGTTCCACCACAAATGTGGCTATTCCTCTATTTACCTGACGATTGCAAGCCATTCGTTTCGTAGTTACAGTATGTAGTTGATAGAGCTCGCTGTGGTAAGGTGTCTTGGTGGTCAAGTGGGCTGAGGCATAAACTTGGACGCGGATTTCCCGCGTTCGAATCTCGGAGCTGCAGTCGACGTTTATCCGGTAAGAGAACTTAGCTGTGAATTACTTGTAACTTCTCTATATCATTAGTAATTGAATTTGTGAGATTGTAATTGATATATACGATGCAAATGTTCGACAGCAAAGACAATAAAATCTGACATGTCATAGTGAACGGTAACGTGTCGATGATCTCGGAGAGAGAGAAAAAAATTTTATGGATTAGAAATCGATTAAGGTAGATTCGACGTAGATCAATGATGATTCGACATCGATTAATGCAGATTCGACTAGCTAGTGTAGATTCGACATCGATCGGTGCAGATTATTCGATTCAACAAGTTATCAGGTGCAGAATCTTCGACGATCTTCGCTGAATCTGCATAGAAAGTTCCTCAATAATCGTCGTTGCGCCCCGCGACATTGCCCTCTCCGTTGCCCACTCCAAATGGAGGTTTGCCCATGTCGATCGAGCAAGAATCTGCATTAATTTCTTCATCGATCCGCCCTAATCTTCATCGATCGATCAAGACCTGATTGACTGGGCGCTCAGCTCAGCTGTACCTGAGATCAGTACTGGGATCAGCTCCTATATTAACCAACGTAAGAACGATTGCTCTTTAGAATGATAGCTCGTCGGACCTTTATCATTCGAGTATGCAGCTAGTTATAGTGTAGATAGCATTTGAGTGTTTCCTAACGTTCTCATTATGAAAAATGTTTTCATTCATAATTCAAAGCAAACGCTGCATATGAGCGCAATATATAAATAAGTTATAGGAATCCCTGCAAATATTTTATAACAGTAGCACAGCTCATCGACTGAGCCACCAGCTCATTCGATACATTTCATTTATTACAATTTTGCAGTTTTCTGTAAATATTTCTGTCACGTTGATGTCCGACTAGTGAATTACTTTAAGAAATGCAGAAATGTGGAGTACGAGTACGTAATTAACGTTCTTGTAGTTTTTCGTAATTAACGTTCCTGACAGTCGTTATGTTTACAAACAAACCAATTATCAGCGACATAAATAATTGTTTGAAATTGTTCAAATAAAGCTATAACGGTACTTTGCCTATTCCAAATATATAGAGAATTTATAAAGAATTAGAAATATAGATTACCGATGCTTCGGAACAAAAAGAATAGAGATACTGCTTATTAACTCGAGATCGATGTTACAGAATGAAATACGTCGAGTAATCGTTATCGCAATAACATACCCCTACAACTGGTCGCTAGTCTTTGGAAACAAAAATTGGCACAAAACTATATTTTGCGCCGAATTGTTAATGATGATGAATTGAAATAAATTCTTTAATTCAGGAAGATTGTTACGACTTAAATTTTCATAACCGGTTCCTAGGCAGTTCGGACATGAGTAGCATATCGTGTTTTTCATAGCCCGAATAAATTTCCATAAAATATATGCTTCTCTCGCCTTTTATAAAATTCTCGCTTTTCGAGAATTTTTTATATAAATTCTCGAAATTGTTCTCGCTTTCTATAAAATTTAGAGAATAAAACTAACTTTAGGTGATATACATTATATACTCAAGAGATAATTTTAAACAAATCATAAAAATTATCGTAAACATGTCTGAATACGTAAATTATTTTCAACTATATATATTCCCGTTCAAACCGAGTTAAACAGATTTTTGAAGACCATTTTGGATAAAATTCAAACTGACAGGCAAAGGAAATTATCATCAGAAACTATTCAATATTCATATTTAACTGTGTGCGTTCGGCTTAAAAAGTTTTATAGGAAATTAAAGCAGTCTTAACAATGAAATGAAAAGTATAGCTTTAAGGGAAATCCAGTTTAATCGAAAATACTTTGTTCATGATGAATCGGAAAATAATTCATTGTCAAATGAAATGAACAGTTCTCGACGCTTGTAATTGAGATTTTAAAACGACATAGATATTACTTCAATTATTGTGGATAAAACACGTAGAGTAAAAGCAGGATTTTAAAATCAATCATTGACATTATTTTAATACTAAAGTTCTGGCGAATTCGGTAGTTGCAATTTGACAGCTGATGACTCATCCTAATGACGAGAGCCTTAATTATTGCCTTAAAGCGGCCGGGCACCACAAGACGACGCTGGTGCAAGATATTCCAGGACCGTGTAGGACTGTAGGTGTTCTCACCGCGAACCATGCTCAAGTGGTTACGCGAACCACTGCTGACTGGAGGTGGCAAGTGAGACGATTCAAAGTAGATGCTGT